TTTTTCATGTCTTCTTCTAATTCCGACTCAGAGTGTACTTTAGTCTCCTTCTTTTCCGTTTCCCTTCAACATTCCAAGTTAGGGCTTCCCTCGTGATACAGTTTGATGATTTCTTTAATATATGTCTCACCCATCACTTCCAACGTCTTTTCTTAATTTCCTGTTCATCTGGATGCTGATTTGTTCTCTCCCACAGCAGTCATACACATATATATAAATTATACATGGATAAAAAAAACGAATCATCGACGCTTTGGACGGGTAAAAATCAATATTTGTTGGAAATGAAAATAACCTGTTTAATTACAATATCAGTATCTTGACTTATACCTGTCCGAAAAAGTATAGGTCTACGTGAAAGTATAAGATCTTTATACTTTGAGTAAACAATATAATGCCGCTAGTAAGCTTTGTTTAAATTATCTTACTCAGTTCATATATTTATATGCAATGACATTGGTACATCATATATTCTAAAGATAAGTAAGAACTATCGTCATTTTAAATTCATTCAGTATTGTTTGTTTGAATCTTCCCATCGATATGTTAGGACTGCAACTGGTCAGTCTCTAATTGGCATATGTGCATACTGAATGAATTTAAACTTCACCCCATCGCACAAGCAAGTGGGTATCAGGGCTTAGTGGCCGAGTGGATAACGCGATGGCGTTTGAAGCGAGGGTACTGGGTTCGAGTCCCAGAGTGAACATCAACTCTGAGATGCAGGTACATCCAGCTGACGAGTCCCAAATAGGACGAAACACGAGTCAAACTGGATGCCACTGCCAGCCACTATCCGTCTCTGCTTATCTTCATTTTGACTGTATCCTTTTTCTACAGCTGTATAATTGTAATTGTGCCTATTGAAAAGGAACATTTATTTGTCCATGAACAATGATACATAAGCTGCAATCTACCTTATAAGTCCAGCTAATTAAACGCTATACTCGGATCCTAAACTATTCTTTGTAACCTCCAAGCAAAATCTATACAGCAACTTGATCACGAGAGAAAAGTTGCAAAATATGCGAGAAGCACTTTCCTCCCAAAGTTCCTTCATGTATAGACAATACAGGGTTTTTATAGTATTTTAGAAGTCCTTGGGTTTTCTTGAAAATTCTGCAATACTACTAAACATAGTATCAGTATAGTAATCAACCAATCAGAAACTCTACATGTGACTTTTCATTTTCGTGATGTTTCTGGCATAACTTTTAGTCAAACGCTGATTGGATAGAATGCATCTTAGTGTTTCCTGAGCCTTTCTTGTTTGTTTTTGCGAGAAGTTTCCTGGATCACCCCAATACAACAACTTACTTTCGGAATATTTAGTATGTACTACCACAATGTACTGTGAATCTGATTAGCGTTAAATACCAAGTGCACTAGTTAAAAAGTGTGTTTATCCAGTAGACAATTACCTGGAAATGAATACTAATGTAGTGAACACGAGTGGAGACTATCGAATGTACTTAAGCACAAATTACAGACTATCTCACTAAATTCGGAGTAGTTTTGTCACTCAGTAGACTGATTTTGGTAGAGTTACATTCCGTTCTCTATCTGATCTGGCGGGGATGTGAATATCATACTCTTTTGACACTTATATGTAAAATGTATTGATGAGGATATCCACAGGGAAAGTATAGCTGTTAACTTGTGGAAAATAGCTTTTTCATGAAATTCTCCCATTTTCAAACAACAAATAAAGTATGTTACACTGAAATAATGTTGAGTTTGTGGAGGTTAATTTTTGGTTCAGTGGGATGATTTAAATAGAGTTGCGCTGTCTCAGATTAGTGGATAAAACTCTAACAAAAAAACAACGATCACGAGTGTTCTAGTGGGGAGAAGTAGTAGTGTTGTGAACAAGAACACTGGTGGGGACAGTCGAATGTACTTAAGCACAAATTAATGACTACCTCAATAAATTCTGTTAACCATACAGCAAACAGTTCATTTGCTAACTATCAACCAATTGTCTCAATATTCACTGTTCCTTCTATAAATATCAATCCGCCTTCTCTGATTTCATTGTTCATGCATTTTCATACCGATCGCGTTCCTATCCGGTTCTTTCCTTATCGATCTTCTGGGAAAATACATTCTATGTCTGACCATCACCATATACTACTTGTGTGGATATAAGTAGACCAAACCACACTATCATTAATATCATCATAGAACTGGTAACATTGGTAGATGTACAGTGATAAATAATTCCTTAAAATCAATAGGCAAGAAAACCTGATGGTTATGAGTTTGATCGTTAGCGGAGTCGTAGATGTGTATCGCTGAGAAGTTCCATAATAACATGAAGTAGTTGTCTAGTGCTTTTTTATATTTCAATGGCTCTCTAAATGAAGTAATTCTACAATTTGAAATTGCTAAATCCATCAACCTTTGTAACTCTCTAGACTAATATTAACATTCATTTTTCGGCTCTTAATACTGTTCATTTGTAACGTAAATAAAAGAAAGAATTAAATTTTCATAGACCCAGAATTTGGGCTTATAGGTTTCTTTAAACATTATTAGATAGGGGACATTCCTTAGAAAACTTTTCTTGATCTAGATATCGTGCATGCTGACACTATTCAACAAGGTATATGAATGATGTGAAAGGAAATAATATTCTTCACGGAACTCAGACTCACGTCATTTGATTTGGCAGTTGGAAATGTTAATACTGAGATATTCAGGTTGAGACTGATCTAATATAGAAGTGATTTGTTTACTATGAATAAATTGAGTTTTGAACAATTGTATGCTTGTCTAGTCTTTAGCGCTGATCAGAATTTTGTCCACTATTTTTGTACGGCTCTTATTATAAACTTTCATTCTATTCATTAATTCTTGTAATGAATCTTTATGTTCCTAAATTATCGTAAATTAATCATAAATACGTAGCTTAATGTTGTACCATATATAATCTACTTATGTACACAGTGTAGTTTCATGTTTGCAATGTATTATGGTCATGTAATTCCGCCTTTAGAGTTACTGCCGGTCCCAAGGCCGGGTAAAAAATGAGGGTTGGGAATGGGGTTAGCGATCCCATCCAGTAGAAAACTAACTCGCTAAAAAAAGGCTAACCAGAAAAAGTAAAACGGTCATGTAATTGAATTATGTAATCCGTGAGTTTTTAAGTGAAGGTAAATTTGATTGTTTTCGTGTTCTGATTGACCACTGTGAAGATAACCAGCTACGTTGCCTAGTAGGATGAGAGTTTTCTAGTCATTATCTTATTGGCTAAAGTGATGTAGATAGAATTCATGATCAATTGACCTGATTAAGAAAGCAATGTAAGAATTTTTGAATCTATATTAATTAACACCTCTCCATTTTCATCAATTTGTCAAACAAAGATCATCACCTTTTTCTGATAGAAGTTTCGATATGTTAATGCAACCCTTGAAGGTAATTATCTTCCAGTTACATCCTTATTCAATGAATTTGAATCGATAGATTGTCGTGAAACTTAATAAGTCATAGGTTGCAACACATCTATGACAGCAATCAATTATCTTAGTTGAAAGCGTGAGTCAATTGAAGCTAGACCACCATGGAAAACCTGGAAGCACTGGATGGCCGTTTCGTCCTATTATGGAACTCCTCAGCAGTACGCATCCACAATCCCGCACCCACGAAATTCGAACCCAAGACCTACCAGCTTCTCTGGTGATAAGCACAAATATAATGAGAGTTAGGGCTTAAAGTAAAATCTTTAATAAAAATTTACGATTCGAAATTCAGCACTTAACCACTATGTCAATGGAAAAATGACCATTGTTCGCTAAGACAAAGTGAACATTTCAGATAACCTCAAACGTTCTTACCCAGTTAATAAGTCGATATTTTTAATGAGAATTATTTACCTAACAGTTCATTTATCGTATATTTATATAATACCATCTATAAGCTCTTTTTGACTTATTTTAACATGTACTGATCGGAAATAATATTCAATCGACTAGAAATGGATTACCTAACTTTTCTGTAGTAAACCTATCCTAGATATACGTTTATTGTGATGTATTACGATTTGGTATTTTATTTGTATGAAGACACGTTAGTTCTGAATTTCAATAATAAAATTACTTGTGACTATTCTCCTCAACTAGCCTGGAGGTTTAGAAAAGTAAAGATTCACATGACATGCAACTTGATCGATAGCATTCGATCAGCACTAAGATGGACTTGACGCGCATGACATTGATCACCACTCAGTGATCAATCAATTGTGATAACATCTCAGTCCTATAGGAGGTGGAACACGGCCCGAACAGCTCAGTGGTAACGTCTCTGATTGTGGAGCTGAGTGACACGGGATTGAATCCGTCAGGGAGCACCAGTTCCCTCAATATTACAGGTACACCTTGCTGACGAGTGCCAAGTAGCACAGAACCCTGGTCCAGGGGGTTCGTGTTGACCACCTTCAACACCATACTCCCAAATGTCCTGGTACGATCGAGAGTGCGAAGAGTCCACTCTCCCTCTTCAAATGCTCTCATATGGCCACGCGTATTTAGCCTCTGTCAGGGAAATCGTAATCACTGCCTTCTCACACCACGGGTGTTGTTTACGAAATCGAGAGGACGAAAAGTGAATGTCCGGCGCTTTAACTGGGTTGGTGGACACAGAACATCCGCCTAGGAGAGGTGGAAAACCCTGATTCCAAACCAATGCTGCATATGAGCTCCAGGATCCTGAAGGAACAAATGGCGTATGAAACAATCGTTGGTCACAGGCTACCGTGGGATTGCATCTCCTCACAATGTCCCACTGCCTTGTGGATCAGACCTTTAGGTCGAAGGCTCGGGGTGTGGCCCCCTAAGAAAAGCACCTGCTTCAGTTTGGGCACCCAGGTAGTATCATAGCCCTCACACAAATAAAATAAGATTTGTGTGGCTCATATGTATCTGGTGCTTCCTTGTACCAATATTTATGTGTTTAAATGAAATAAAATAAAATGTTAATGGATAGTATAACCAATTATTAAACAATAATACAATTTTATTAGAGTCATAACATGTCAAAACAACAATGATGATCAAAAAATTATAAAAATCAAGTTAGTCAAAATCGATGATTTAATTACACTCCATCACTTATCATTTACATATACGCGCATAAATCTATTCTATATATATACATTGGATTAGTTTCTATAGAAAGGTATTATGGAAGTGTTTTCGATAAGTAAATTTATGATTGATCATCGATCTTTTTCATTGAATAAGTCATGTTTACTCCAAAGTAAAGCTTCTGATTTATTAAGGAATAAATTAGCCTCAGAAATATCTGTATGTATTTGTTTAATTAAATCCCCTGAAGTTATCAAAAACAACAACAAGAAAGTTAAAGGAATAAAATGATTAGCAAGAAATAAAATCTTCATCATCATGTAAGGGGTTAACATTTTAACAAAATAATCAACAACAAAAAACATTACAAAATGTCCATAATTTATCCAATTGATAATAACTCATTTGCCAAACATAAGTTTTGTCATAGTTGAAAGCGTGAGTCAATTGAAACTAGACCACCAGGGAAAACCTGGAAGCACTCGATGGCCATTTTGTCCCATTGTGGGACTTCTCATCAGTGCGCATCCACGACCTTACTTCGCGAGATTCGAACCCAGGACATACCAATCTCGAGCCAGAGCACTTAACCGATAGACCACTGAGCCGGCATCGGATGGTGTTTATGTCTAACTCCAACTAACTCCAACCAATCCACGAAATTTGATCAATCGTTCACCAATTGTCTTCAGTGAGTTCCTATCTCACAACAGACGTGGTTTGAACTCCACTGGTCACTGCTTCTCACTATAACTTCTGGATTTACCTCTCGACGTCAGTCACTAGTGAGCATATGATTATTATTATTATTTAGCTTCAATTGACTCATTCTTTCAAATATAAAAATACTAAATCTCCACAAAACCCCTTCTGATAATAATTTTTGTGTTTAGCATGTATATAACGACTAGTGATGTTGTACTAATTAACCTAAATCAAAGTAAATATGATTTGAGCAAATAACTCAATTACTAAAAGTTGGATACTTTAAGTGCTTATATGATAAAAATGATGGTTTAGTTGAGGACGGTAAATGTTATTCTTCCGTTACATTTTTTAAAAAAACCTAATGATACTGTTGTGGTGTTTATATGAACTAATGATTCCTTTGTATTGACGACCGCATGGTTTTGAGTACTTCTTGAATAAATTGCGTTGTTTCTTGGATTGCTAGTTTATACTATAATTAAAATACTCTTAAATATCACAATTGTGTTCCCAAAATACGGTAATCGAAGCAAACTACATGGATGGGTACAGTAGTTTTATTTTACGGAACAGTCATAACAGAAATATAATGAATTCTAAGATCATTCAGGACTAAACCTTTTTACAAGGCAACCAACAAACTTTTAACACAGAATCCTTTCTGTTTCAGCGTAGAAATATGCTTACAAATTACGTTGTGTCAATAATACCCCACTCTTATATTAGGGAATTTTTCCGGAAAACTTTGAATTACACCAATTTCAATTCAAGTAGTGAACAAAACACTGGTTGGGGACAATCGAATGTTTTTAAGCAAGGATTACAGACTATCTCAGTAAATTCTGATTACCAAACAATGAACAGTCAATTTGCAAATTAACAACCAATTGTTCCAATCTTCACTTTTTCTTCTCTTATTCTATTGCTCATGCATTTTCCAGACGATTGCGCTTCATTTCAGTTCTTTCCTCATCGGTCTTTTGCCAAAATACATTCTATGTCTGACACACACCATATACTACTTATGTAGATATAAGTAGATCACACCACACTCGTCCCCCCTTTAAAGCATTCGTTCATGCGGTGGTTCTGCTCGCCATGCCACTATCTTCTTTCACTGCAGTCTGTGCCAAACACTCCGTCAGAATGTCGAGTCTGCAGCGCGCTGACCTCCATAGCTCCGTCGACTTGCCGGGGCACCAACATCCGCATCCACCTGTCACCTGGGACGTTCAACACCCGTACTCCACCGGCCTGCTGAGCCATCTACATCCGATGTCCGCCCAGCAGCCGCACGTCCCACTGCTCCTCTCCGTCGACAGGATCTGCTACAGCCAACGCCGCCCCGCCAGAACACTCCACTCGACGCCACCTCTCCGCACCAGACTGCCCCAACTAGCACCTCGACTCCAGACCCGCAGCGGCGTCCGCAGAACAGCGCCCTTCCTCCTCCTGGTTGGCAGCGACACCAAATGTCACATAAGAAAATCTGTCAACTCTGTATAACTTGAACGTTTACCAGTACAATTAACAGTAGTAGTTGTTGTCATCTATCTAAACAACCGCATCGATTTTAAGAATATTTAAACAATTAGAATTTGCTTCTTCAACTAGGAAGACGAGCAGCTGAAGCATTCCGTAGTGTGTTACATCACACTGCTCAAAATAAGACGTATCACTTTATACATTTACAAACCAAAACTTACAACGATGGTAAGTTACTATGAGGTGAATAACCTAGAGAATTTAACATCATCTTCAACAATCCAAGTTTTCAACCACTAGCAAAAGGATCACAAGTTCAAATTAAAGTTTAAACACTTGAATAACTCAAGTATTATTGATAGATTTATGGACGAAAATGTACTTGGTTACTGAAATTCAAACTTAGCTGTGTATAATATCATTTGAGGTATAATAAGTGTGAAATATAATCAACTTACCAATGCTTGGAAAGTCATATTCAGGTCTGAAATACTTAACAGCAATTACTTTAATTGTATCACCATAGAAATTCTCCTCGAATCTATGGAGTATATGGACTTCCTATAATAAATTAGACAATGAGGAAAAGGATTCTCCGACCACAGAACGCTTGATATTTTTAAAATAAGGATTCCATCCAATACTCATCACCATTTTATACACTGGAGTGTTGCTCAACTTAGCCCACCCAAAGTAAATACCATTTTTAGTTGAGTCCGGAATTTTACTAACAATAGATTCTTCAAGATTCGCTACATAGGCCACCAATAAAGCAATAAATGATAACCTGCAACAAACCAGTTGGAATTCCAAGCTGTTTTGATCCTCTCCCAAAACCATGCACGACTTTACCAGATGCATAAAACAATGCTCCAGCTGTCAAATTAACAAACATTTCTACAAAAAAGGACGTTGAAGGTATACAATAAGCTGTACAAAATATACATAGATATCATACAACAATGAAAATAGTTTGTCTTAACTTTTAGGTACGACCAAAGAAACACTGAAATGACCACAAATGAAAGAACAGATATAAGACATTCAGGTATAAATAGTGTAAGACTAAGAACAAATTCTCATTTACTCTGAATCAGAATAATTGGCCAAAACATATACCGACTATGAAGCTTTGCATAATAATACCGTTTAAGGGCGATTTCAAACGCAAAATAACTTTGGGTGTTTTTCAATGGCAGCTACAGCTGGTGGAATTTAGGTTACTCTCAATTCATTCCGTTTCCTGCTCATCTTTACCAGTTTTCTGTAAATACGACAAATAATAGTTTAATAAAGCATATTGCTCTTAAAGTTGCATGAAACTCATGAAATCAGTGTATTTTTGAACCCATTTTCATAGCTTGAAGGTTCTTGCTAAATTACAGATGCAGAATGATTTTAGAATGTAAAATGATATATTCTGTTTTATGGTACTATCATTAAAACATGACATGGCCAATAAATTGTGGGTTCGAACCATGTCTCTCCTGATTTGGTATGAACATGAGGCTAATATTATCATCTCTTAAGTACTAACCAGGTTTTAGAGCCAAGCATATAAATGCTGTGCTTGGTAAATGAGATCTCACATGCAAGCAAATCTTTAAATGTAATTACAGTCAAATACTAGCCATCTGCGCATGTCTCTCATCAAAAATTATAGCTTTGAATTGATATGGCGAATGGATTAGAGCTTTGCTCACTGTGTGACAAACGGGAAGAATTTTACACTACAACATTATCCCACTGCAAAGAAAAGTATGAGGTCTTCACATGCTCCATCATTATGATTTCTAGATTTGCAGCTCACAAGCAAATTTGGACATAATCTAGAAACAGTGGAAAACTAAGCGACAAAATCAAATATTCATGGATCAAAAACTGGCGAGATTGCGTGAATCTTATCTAAATACAAACAAATATACTTTTATGCAGTTAACTTACCTTTTGCTTAATAGCTAGTTAAGTGATGATAACCCACTTAACGAAATTGCTGAAGAAAAAAGGAACATGTGAACAACTTACTACCTATGAGTGCAGAACGTAACTATGTCTAACAACAAACATAAATCGTCATAGGTAACACTGCATATTCATAAATTCATGGAAAATTATTACTCAAAACTAGAATGAGGATGTAACGGTTTCAAAACCTCATGACAGCACTTCTTAATGTAACGATGTGTCCTAGGCTAATGTTATCGTTGATTGCTGCTAGTTGGTATCATCACTAATAGTAAGTACATGCTAATTGGTTACTGAATTGTCAGCTCACTTATTCTCTAACTCTTCTTTTCAGCCTTTCTTATAAATACGACTCTCCATATGCTTCTAGAACCTAAAGTACCTTTGTGCTAGGTTTAAAAAGATACAATTAGTATTTTAAATGTGCTGGACAGTTTTTCTTGATCAAAAGTGATTTTTGATATTTAGAAGCAGCTGAAGTGTATCAAAGACGTAATGTGTGCAGTTATTAAGTCTTAGGAATTTATATATCTATTGTACAGTCTGTAAGGATCTAGTAACTAGAGATTTACTCCACACTTTGAGCAGAAAACATATGGATTGGTAATTAATAAGTTCTAGTTTTGTTTGGAGGTACCAATAAAAATGAAACAGTTTCACTTTTTGTTGAGAACTATGTTTGCTCAGTTAGTCTACTGAAAGCAACTCGTTTGAATAAGCAAATATCTACTGTGTTTCAAATTTTAAATACATAAGTACCTATGAGATAACTAGAGTTAATGCAAATCAATATTGACTAAAAAGTAGTCATCACACTGTGGCAATTAATAGCATAATCAAAGTTTGAAATTAGAGGTACACATAAGTGTCGAAAAAAGTGGTAGAATAATATAATGTTGACTATTGAGTAGTGTTCTATGTGATCATAGAGTTCCTAAGGATAAATGCGAAAAATATACATACATCATGCAAATAAGTGGGGATGAGATACATTTTAATAAAACAGGAACCTATACAGTCACCATATAATGTGTCAGAAAACGCCAAATGAATGTACAGAACAGCGATTTTTATGTCTACAAATAAACGTGTACATCCCCACCTGGTGTTTGATTCAACGACAGTAATTATCGTGGTCTCAAGGACATCAAGACGCGCTCAAAGGTGACATGATTCAGTAGTGTAACCAAACACTATTGCTTATAACAATGAAAGCGATCAACTACTATCTTCAGTGAACATGCACCAATCAGCTGTAGCTTAATAATTGAAACTGATATCGTCATCGGTCTTACTCTATGCTGACGATGTCAAGATATGGAGAGCGATACAAAGCAAGGGCGATAGCTAAGAACTCCAAAATGACCTGGAGAGATTATCTGAATGGTCCCAATTGCCAATAAACACTTCCAAGTGTATTGTGATGCATATTGGCCACCAGGGTACAGACACATACACGATGAATAACACTGAGTTACCTATTGTCCAGGTACACAATCACTTAGGCGTCATCGTTAGTCAAGACTCAATAACAACTGCACACTGCCGTGCAATAGCGGCCAAAGGTTTTAGAACTTTATGGTCCATAAGCAGGGCTTTTAGGCATCTCGACGCTAAAACGTTTCTGACTTTGTATACAGTGTTCGTACGTCCTAAACTTGAGTACCGCATACAAGCAGCTAGCCCCTGCCTAAAAAAAGACAGTGAACTCTTGGAAAGGGTTCAGAGAACAGCAGCTAAGCTGATTCCCGGAATAGAGAAGCTCCCGTATGGTACTAGACTGACCAAGCTAAACCTATTCCCGCTGTCATATAGAAGAATCAGAGGCGACTTGATTACAGTTTTCAAATTGCTTAATGACAAATTTGCACCTGATATGCCCTCATTTTTCTTGTCTTCCAAAACAGAAAATCTACGAGGACACTCTAAAAAAGTTCACAAGCCCAGAACGAATTACTTGTCAGCTGACTACCGACTTTCCCATCGAATCGTCAACGAGTGGAATTCATTACCTCAGCACGTTGTTGAGGCTCCATCCGTCGACTTTTTCAAAAGAAAGTTGGATCAGCTGAGAGACCATCATTGCCAGGACTAACACAGGCCATCAAGCCTCCTGTGCTTTCCAAACTGAAAGTGAAAAGGCATGAATTGTTGTGCTTTACAGACTCACGGGTTACAAAATCATCCACCTTTAATTTGGAAACAAGAATAGAAGACAAATGAAGATACTTATTTCTAGTCGTAATATCCAATGGAATGTGTAATGGTAGCCGACAAATAGGGTGTTCAGGTGACAATCACGTAAACGCGCAAGGTATTCATTTGCCCAATCCTCGAATATTATTTGTTCATATTCGGTGGCTTCCATATAAGAGACAAGTTGAAAGTCTAAGGAATGAAGCGATATTTCAGGAAAACTATTTGGTATTAGGTTGTGTCCAAATTTAAGCTACAAGCTATGACAAAATGAGGTTGAAATCACCTTGGGAAAAGAGATCTAGTCTGGATCTCACGTTTACTCTAATCGTGTAAACCGATTACTACTTTTTCAAACCTAATAGTTGGTTTCAACGATTTGTCCAGGTTTTCGATGGTGGTCTAGCTTCAATTGACTCATGATTTCAACTTTGAAATATACTGAAATCTCCACAAATCTCCTTCTGATTTGTCATTAGTTAATGTAAAAAATCACACTAAACTGATTCAAATACAACACCAAAGATTTAACATGCCGTAAAGCTTTTTTCTGCATACGTCTTATTACATATATCATTTGAAATAGGCTCTCATTCGGAATACGAGGAACAGACATTACAAATCACTCCAATCATGAGATAAGTTGGCTTGAAAAAGGCTGGAATTCTAGCACTTCTGAAAATAATTTTGATCCGATTAACGTATAAAGTATAGACCAGACTCTATGTAGCCCGCGAAATGAGTTGATTTGACCTTAATATGTCGATTACTTAAATTCAATCAAAGCCAATTTATCAGTAGTAACTGATTTTCTATCAGAATGACCTGATTGATAGGGCGTATATGAATGACTATCACATATATTAAAGGAAGCACGAACAATAAGCGTTATATCTCCCTAATATGATGCCAAGCAGTTGAATAGTCTGACTAAAACAGTGATGGACCATGAGTCAGGAGTATAAGGTAGTTGAAGCATTGAAGAGCCATTTTAAAATGAATATGTTTAGAGCCACGACATCTACAAGGTAGGACTTAAGATCATTTGCCCCTCAGTATTCTGATGCTTCTCAATAATTCCGAACATTTTCTCGCTTCCAATCTGTCTCCAAAGCCGGACATTATTTGCATTGATTTGTAAATGTAACTTATACATTGTGGATAAAATAGGCATAAAGACGAACCTATGTTGTAGGTTAAAACGCATCGGTAATAGATGGGTATTTGTTTGTCATTTAAAAGCAAGGCTAGTGATGTAATACTCCTTCTTCGGATTCATTCTCCAAGTTTATTGGTTATATACCTCAGTAACTATTGCAGAGTACGTTTTACTACAGTGGAACATTCAGGATACCATTTTTCTAAAAAAAAGATAGTAGACCCCTGCACATAGCTTTATCGAAATTCATCTAGATCCACCGCGATCTTAATGGGCAATGCCAAACCGCTACGACAATATGATGCTCTTAGATATCAGAGGCAACTAATCCCATGAATTTGAACGGATGACGAAAGCAAGATTCGACCGGGCAGTTACGAGTGACAGAAAGATCGTGATACGCAATCCGATGCAAACGGTTAGAATTTCAAGATGGCAATGCTTTGAATGTAACAGGCTATTTGGCTGCTTGTGAATGACTCTTCAATGATATTGCGAATTAATTTTTACTTAAGACGTCGACCACATTTTTTAGTTTCAGTGAGGTGCTGAAAATCTCTGTTGAACTTCTTGAAAGTGCATGGATTACGCAAACAATGTAGGGTCTGTTATGGCTTTTGATCTTAACTGCACGATCCTTGAAGCCGGATCTGAAGACACTGAAAAGGCTTTCATTGAAAAGTGGACGCTTTGAGAAAGTTAGGAAAGAAGAAGAGGGAACACTCGATCGGTACAGAATGTCTTGATAATGAGAGTGTGGTAATTCTCTGTAGTCTCACGTCTTTTATGATGAATATGTCACCCTGTCTCTTGTCCGAATGATTTCTTAGAACTCTCTGGCTGCAACCGCCAGCTATCATGTAGGATTAGTTAGTATAGACAATGGTGTGATGCGTAAGATCAGATGGATTAGATAGGCACATCATGGCACATCCACAATTTTAGACTAGGTTTGTCATTCCTGCGCCAAAGATATGTGCATTGATAGGACCTAAACATTAATCCAACAGCATCACACAGTTAGAGCTGAAGCAAAAAAGTGAATAAAAATTGGCCTCTCCTTCGCAGTTTTACGCTGATAAGATCGAGTACTAATAAGTGTAAGCACCGACGCATTGATCAAAATAATTAAGATGGCGTAGTTTGCTCAATCATACCTCTCCCTTGATCCCACATCACTTTTCCTCAACAGCAGATCAGAAACGTATTTCTAGATGTTTAGTGGAGAATTCACTTTTCATAGACAAAGTACCCTTCCTCTCTCCGCATCAATTCATATTACTGCAGTCATGCTATCATGTTATTCTATTTTAAATGTGTATATAAACGTTTGTCATTGTTTGGTGTCCAATGAAAGATGTGTTTTCAGGCAACTTACGGTTTATGGAATTAGCACTTTGTCGTTTTATTATTCTCGATAGTCATCAGGAACAACAAAAATGCAAAATACGTGTGTATAGCGAGAATTCATTCACAGTGGCCGACAATATTCCCGTCATCACGAAGGCAGACTTCTCACAATATCCCGTTCCTATTAGTTTTTGGCTTTGGCTATAGTTATGAGCCCCTCATACATACATGTTGACTGTCGCGAGATGATCGACAAATGGTAACCGCATACTGCCCTTAAGTTACCTTTCTTATTACGCAAATAATAAAAGCTGTCCAGTTACGTATCTTAAGCTTCAGACAGAAATCTCTATGTGACAATTTTATTGCCCAATTACACTATCTGTGGAGTACAAAAGACTGGGGTAATCTGTAGAGTTTGTGTGAACTTACACAACAACATGTTTTCGTCAATGTACTGTTTACTAATTGAAACTCTCGTAAATATGTTGACTTACCATAAACTGATATGGGGTGAGCCGGATATTGCATTTTGATTATATATCATTGTCATTAATATTAAATATCTGTTTAGCATAGTTTTTATGACCTGTTTAGCATGATTCTTACCACTTCATTTACAAATGTGAAACCTATTAGACCTCTATGTTAATATCTTATCAAGCAGTTTATAGAAGCGATAGATAATTTTGCACATCTCAGAATATCTGATAAATCTTGTAAAGCATATTGATTACTGTCATAACGTGTGAGTGCGTGCTACTCGGTCCTGATTTCTGCCTAGCCCGGCCAGTTAAGCCTAGAACACCAATAGCAGCCTCTGCAATATGAATCATTATTCACAAACATGCTGGGTTTATATACCAATCAAACAGACCACATCGTACCATAAAATAGAAAATAACATTTGTACAATATTTAGCCAAATGTGGCTGTGAATAGAGGAAAAGTTACCAATAAACTGATGATAACTCAAGAATCGTGTAATAATAATTCAAAGGTCAAAATAAAGCTAAAGGGAACACGAATACGATTAGGTTATTTACTTAACGATTATACAATAGGAAATATACATATTACATTAGTCCATAAATAGTTCTCAAAAGTTACCATTCATAATTCACCAGGGGATATAACAATTATTTGACGTGAAAACTAAAAATTACAATCATCGGACAAAAAGCTGTCTTAAAGTGTAAAAATAAAATTAAACTATGGTATACTGCCCCAAATAGATCGTAATATTTGATGCATAAAAAGATATTCAGACGACGGTTTCCCCTAGACGAAACATGATTTTGAGTATTCAAAATTACCAATTTGTAATGTGGACGAACTACTTCATTTTTATATTTGTCCATCAGATACTTAACTCTTCACTGATCAAAACCGATGGCCTAATGAGAACATAGTGATGTATAAAATACGAACCCCTATACGCATATGAATGAACTATGAAGATGTAGTCCAAATGAAACCATATTGAATGGATAATAGGGGCGAAAATAAGTGGTTTGTAAAAATGTTACTTGATAGTCATTTTCTGAAAAACATCGCAAATATACTCCCCTTAACTGCAAATTGATCTTCTGTGTACTAGGTGGCAGCAGCATGAGGAAAGGCATAAGTCTGCAGGATTTAGGTTTAGGTCGGTATTAATGCACTTATCTACGCCGTTAGAATAGTACACTAAAACTAATATTTTAGACTTGTCATGACATGATCAACTAATCTGTCATGCCATTGTCCTGTTGTGTTGGCCAGTAGCATGCTTTCCATTGATATCGGAATAACACTTGGTCTGGGGAAATGATAATATATTTAGTATCAAGTGGAAGAGTTTAAGTAAAGCGGCCACACGTCTATGACTGAGTCATAACGTTTCAACTAAGTCCTCCCATGTTCATCACGTGTGACTTTGTGCAGGTTTTTCAGTGCTTAATATATGTCTTCTTAGGTATCGTGTATCTTCCTTCAATGACCATCTAAGGTCAGCAAGACAGAACGGAATGTAATGTAATCCGTTATGCAGCAAATATAGATAGACGGTAAAATATCAAAAAATAACCGGCCTTAGATTAAAACAACAACTGTTAGAAATTGTACTGCCAATAAATGTCCCATGCATATATGTAATCGAAAATTTAATACAATCAATAGATTGCCAGAGTATGTAAGCCTGATTAAATGTCAGAAAGAGCTCCTGAAAATCGGGAAATAATATTCTCTTTATAAACCGTTAGGAGTGCTTACATTTTAATATGCGCTGACACCAATATCTGTTACTCCTAAGTCGTTTAATGCGAAGAACTTATATTCAACGTCCTATTAGATACTAAAACCAGAAGACTCTAAGTGTTTTTCCTCGACGTTTTTTTCATAATATGAAGAGTGGAGAGTGGGGTTTTAAATACCCATTTCGCCACTCCACAGAGAAATGTAATGGCTGTATAAAATATGAAGGTTAATTAGTAGCTTCTGGCTATAGTTTTTTCATTTTATGGGTAGGCTCTCATTAACTTGCAAGCAGGTAACCTCTGGCTACCATAAATCAAGCGATATTAAGCAGTCTTACGACAATACTCAAGGGAATAAAAAGGTTTCTCATTCTTTCTATCTTATACGGGATATGCCAACTTTCATAGCGTTCTAAAATGCTTATTATAAATGTACATACGATGCATTCATACTGTATCAAACGACATTACAACCAACACGAAGCGAGTGATTTCTTACGCTTCGATGATAACCAATCACATATAGGGGCTCTTTCACCCAAGTTGTATGGGAATCCAGATATATTAACTGATTCAGACTTAGCCAAGTTTACAGGTTAAAAATACATGATTTCTACTGAAATCTGAACTTTTGAACCACATGTGATCCACTTGTTCATGAGGATATCTTAGTTCTTGATTTCAGGGAATCTGACAAGCATTAGGAACGTAGTATGACAAAATTTAGCGGATGAGATATTAGTCTTACAAAGACAACCAATCTCGCATATAGAACATAAGGTTTCGATGATCCATAAAACTGCATGGAATTTTCTCAATCTGTCCTGTCACACACAGACTGCAGTTAAAGATGAACAGTCATTATAGATTTTCAGTTACTTCCAGTGACATATACGAAAAAAAGGATGTATAAGCCTGTAATATGGCTTAAGAATGAGTCAGATAATCATGAAGTTATTATGTCGTTCAGGAAATCAGTCTCTCGTCTTGTCCAGTAGGACAACTGTTAATATCATTTTTCCTACATATTGTTTTGTCAAATACTTGGTTTCTACTCAGTAATATGTAAAGAGCATCACTTTTCCCAGTTAACGAATTGGAAAATCTTAAAATACCATGCTAATACCTCAGTGAATTTGAAGGTCGCTCGAAGGACGTTTTCAGTCGTTGACTTGATCACTAATTTAAAATTTGAATACGACTGTAAGTTTTCATGCAGGGTCGTACTTCGTAATGGCTTTTATATTCCCGACTTTTCTGACTGCATATTCCCCAATAATACTTCCTCCCAAAGCCTTAATTTCTTTGGTTTCTGTTAGTCGCTTCAAATACCTTGAAAAACTCGCATCCACGATCAAGTAACTTACTAAACATTCTTGATTGATATGTAGTTTGGAGGGAGAATATGAACTGTTAGAGGTTATTGAACTGGTCACTTATTACTTTCAAATGTAACTGTTGCCAATTCAGTGGTCATTACTAGCTCACAATTGTGTAGCTAATGAGTTTGTTCGCGGATGTGTTCTTCGAAATATTCTATAGTCCTGTTCAACGATTATAAAGTGGGAATATAATAAAGTATTTAGGGTGTAATTAATTCCGACAAAGATTCCATAAGTTGTGTTGGATTAATAAAGAAAAACTAAATGTGACATGATAGTTTTATGGCTACTCTGAATGCTACATGTCGTTTTATCTTTTCAGAACAGTTCATGGTTTTCCGCAACTTCAGAACTGTTACTCCCTGGCATAATAATAACGCATAAAGTATCAAAAAGGAAATATTTGTTAGCATTTACCTAGAGCATTCACAATTTTAGTTATCTGAATGTTAACTGGGATCTACTCATAAGTGCGTTGAAATCGACCGCGGCATCACATATTAAGGCTCATCTGTGATATTGTAACTGCATCTATAGCCAATCAGGATTTCAGGGAATGCTTAGCCAAATCACATCCTTAGAGTTAAGTATGAATAGTCTTTCTCATTCAGCGATCTATTAATTGATAATAAACTTCCCTACATTGAATTGTCAGCTCAAAATATGCGACAAAGTATCTCATGCTGGTCCATTTGGCTTGGAAATGTCCAAAAAGTGATGTATAATTTCTCTAACAGTGATGAGCTGTCGTTTACGTTCATCTAATAACCAGTTTTGCTCTTATGGAACTCTTCCGAACATAATATATTTGATACTTGAATCCGACTCCCATTACTTTTGTTTCTGCAAAGTACAGACAGAAAAAAGGCATTGCAGATGTCACAATGGTTCCTGCAGATTTTTTATAGTAATTAGTTTCGTGAATATTTTGTCAACATATAGAAACACATGAGTACATACGGCCAATGGTAACTTAAATCTCATTATCTGAGGGCAAACGTTTGCTTCATACTGTGCAGAAATGTGGCCAATTTATCTCAGACAGTCAGCATCTAAAGCTGTCTTACCTTCCCACAACAGAAGGAGGCATCAGGAACGTTGACTGAGAAAATAACACACAACTTTGCCTCATGGATTCCAAAAACAGACAAACATTCTTTAGAAGTATAGAGCACTTCAAAAACTACTTACTAAAAGGTCGAGTTTGATCAGCTCCAATCGAATGTTCCTTAAGTAATTTCAATCACACTCCCAAGCAATTAACGTCACTACAAACCCAGTTTTCCTATCAGGTTCCTGCAAACGAGTATCTTTTTATGGTATGAAGAATATAAAAGTGACAACCTAAATACTGAGTTGTAATAGTAATATTTTTTGTCAAAATTTGTGAGCGCCTACTCTTATTTTGTCTTTCAGAAAGTAGATCTATCCGGGAAAAGTATCTAGGAATATTTTAATTTCAGGAGTATTGAATAAGTTTTCACTATGCAAGTAGAGTATAAATTCGACGTGGATTATGCCAAAAGTAACAGATCCAAGTGTAATAAATGCAAAGTTGAAATCAACCAAAATTCTCTGCGTATCGCCATCTTAGTACAAGCTCCAAATTTCGATGGGAAAATCCCCAGATGGTTTCATTATGATTGTTTCTGGAAATCGAAAGCGCATGTTGAGAGTACTGCTGAGATCAAAAATTTCGATTCCATCCGTTGGGAAGATCAGGAGAAAATTAGAGCTGCAATTAATAGTGAAATCGGTTCTTTAAAGCCAACCAAAACCCGCAAATTCACTGTGAAGTTATCACATGGTGATTTAACGTGTAGTCATTGCCAGAAACCACTAAATCACGTAAGTATTTAATTTGCTTGTCACGTTTGGAAAATGTCTTTTGTGGTTCCGTATTTTTGTGCAGTTCTCATCCACTTGCAAAAGATTTTATTTATTTTGTTAAAGGCCTGTTTCCAAGAAACTGAAATCGCTTCAGAAGGATTTGTTGCTTTCGTCCATTTAGGAGTACTTGTCATATGGGTTTACATGTCTAATTTCTAGGCTTCAGTGTCGATTGTTTCCAGGTTACTGTAGGCGTAGTGTTCATGTAAACAAGTAGAACTTTTGGAAGACTCAAGTTTTGCTGACTTATCTCGGAATATTTTAACTGTTATCGCTTTGTTTTGTTTACTACATTAAACTTGTCTTTGTTTTAGTAATCGGGATCAACCAGGTAAATACCGAGTTGTGTTTGTGGCAGCAATAGTCACATTTCTGGGTGAACCAAGGTGTACAATAAATATAATTTGAAGGTGAAATGTTGTTTGTCCGTCCTCTCGTACTTCTACATGAGACTCCTTTAGGCAACAAGAGTATTGGAAAATTATGAATGGATTGTATTACCAGCTAAATTGATTTACTTACCCAATTAGTAACGGAGTCGTCTTAGGATTATTATGGGAAAGTTTGAGATTGTTGAAATAATAAATAGACTTCTGATAAGTGTTGCTGATTACGAGATGGGATCTTTGGTATAAGTTCTCACAGTTTTATCAACCCGTTCATCTTGTTAAAACCACACCAGCACTCGAAAGTGTGAATTCGTCGTTTTCACTATGTTGAAGCGATATCAGTGGTCATTTGCGCGTATTTTCTCCACTTATTTCCATACATGGCCCCACACTTACTGGAGCGATAGTCTATTAGTTGAGGTTTTCAACTTTAAGTCACTAAGTCTCAGGTTTGTAATTCACTTCCACTTAATTCGGTTTACACGACTGGGTATTCTTAGGGTGTGGAATATACCCAAGTATCTTGTGAATTAGTTTATTGAGAAAAACTATACAATCCTAAATTAAAAGTTGTTTTTGTGAAAAGCGAATAGCCTGACTATCCTAATGGTGTATCCGAAACGCGCATAGAAGATCCGAGTAGTGTCATTCATTTGACCTCACCTAATCAAAATAAAGAACCATCTCGATACACCCTTCGCGTATCTAGAAGCCCTGATGCTGCTTCCCGTGGCCTCGCTGGAGTAGGTATAACATTAAGTCCTAGGGCAGAACTAGCTCTTTTAGACTGGATCCCAGTAGACAGTCGTCTATGCGCTGTCCGACTAAACGGATCAGTAAGGACTCGGAAAGATAGGGTAACTCGTCGTTGCCTCTTCGTTGTCTCTGCCTACTCTCCCACTGACTGCAGCTCAGACGATATAAAAGATGAGTTTTACAGGAAACTTTTTGATCCTCCGAAAAGCTAGGCGTTCTGATGTAGTAATAGTGGCTGGTGACTTTAATGCTCAAGTAGGTAAACTAAATGAAAGGGAAAGACACCTGGGTGGATCTTATGATGTCGTGGCTAAACGGACAGATAATGGCGACCGTCTGTTGCAGCTGTGCTCAGATAACCGCCTATTTCTTGCAAATACTAACTTTAAGCATAAGGAAAAACATCTTTTGACATGGCGACCCCCGAATTCGTCCCAACGTTGGACCCAATTAGGTCACATCGCTATCAGCCACCGATGGAGGGGCTCGATAGAAGACTGTCGCTCATTCTGGAGCACATGTTTAGACTGAGATCATGCTCTAGTGCGAGCACGTATCTGTCTGCGTCTTACTGGACGCAGGAAAGACACTGCAGGGAAGCCTCTAAGGGTTCTACTTAATGGTAGGCAAGCTAAGAATATATTTCAGGAACAACTGGAAAAACAGTTAGACAGACATGCAAATTGTGCCCACCCCGAAGCAGCGTGGAATGACATCCGAAAAGCTGTGGAAACAGCAGTGATATCCGGTAGTAAGGTAAGTCATAAGGTCAGGGAGAAACAATGGATCTCGGCAGCAACTACCGCACTGATAGATGCTCGTAAACTCATCCCACCTGGCTCTGAGCATAACGAAGAGCGGAGTCAACTTAAGCGAAGGCTTATAAGAAGCCTACGTAATGATCGTGAACAGTGGTGGGTAGCGAAAGCAAGAGAGATGGAAAAGGCAGCGGCAATAGGTAACAGCAGACAGCTATTCAAACTTATTAAAGAAACCGGCATTAGGAACCCAACTGTTAGCGAAACTATCTCAGACAAAGACGGGCATATTATTCATTCTCAATCCAGGAGATTGGATCGATGGGCAGAACACTTTAGGGATCAGTTCAACTGGCCTTCAGCCACACTTCAGTTACCCACGATCCCCAGTCGTCCTGAATGGCAAATTGATGTAAGTCCTCCAACTCTCTACGAGGTTGAAAAAGCTATAGGAAATCTAAAGCGAGGGAGAGCCGCAGGCCCTGACAGGTTTACCCCTGAGATTTTTAAGGATGGTGGTCCAGTACCAGCAACGAGATTGACTGAGGTCTTAGGTAGAATCTGGGAACTGGACGTAATTCCATCTGACTGGTCCCAATCACTGATTGTGCCAGTCTATAAGAAAGGACAAAAGTCCTCCTGTGACAATCACAGGAATCATTTTGACTAATATAATGTCTAAAATATTAGCTTCAATAATACTTGGACGCCTAACCAAAGCTCGTGAAGAGGAGACTAGAGAAAACCAAGCTGGTTTTCGACCTGGACGTGGTTGCATAGACCAGATATTCTCTCTACGTCAGGTCCTAGAACATAGACACAAATTCAGACGTTCCACAATAGTAGTATTTCTTGACCTTAAGGCGGCATTTGACTCCGTTGATGGTGAGGTTCTATGGCAATGTTTGTCACTGAAAGGAGTACCAAAGAAGTACATTAACCTCAAAAAGGCTGTCTACTCGAACACAACTGGTCGAGTTAGAGCCTATGGTGAACTGTCATCAGAACTGATTACCTCAAGTGGTGTTCGTCAGGGCTGTCCACTCTCCCCATTCTTGTTTAACTTTGTCGTTGACATGCTTTTAGAGATATCACTTTCATTATCTCAATCTCCTGGAGATGAACTTTTACCGGGAGATTCACTTGTTGACTTAGAATACGCCGACGACATAGTTTTACTCGGTGAAGACGCTGACAACATGCAGAGTCTTCTGACCACTATAAGCAACAATGCAGACATGTTCGGGATGCGATTCTCTCCCTCGAAGTGCAAAATGTTACTTCAGGATTGGGTTGCATCGACACCTGAACTAATGATAGGGAGTGAAGTAGTTGAGCGTGTTGACCACTTCACTTATCTTGGGAGTCTCATCAGCCCTTGTGGTCTGGTGTGTGACGAAATCTCAGCACGGATACAGAAGGCTCGACTAACTTTCGCCAACTTGCGCCATTTATGGCGTAGGCGAGATATCCGTCTAGCAACAAAAGGACGAGTTTACTGTGCAGCAGTTCGTTCCGTCCTACTTTACGGCAGTGAAACATGGCCGATAAGAGTAGAGGATATTCGTAGGCTACTAGTATTCGATCATAGGTGTCTTCGACTCATTGCTCGTATATCCTGGGACCACCGGGTAAGTAATGCAGATGTTAGGAAACGGGTACTAGGTAGTAATGGCAAATCGATTGATGAAGTGGTGAAACTTCATCAGTTGAGATGGCTGGGACATGTGTTACATATGCCCAACCACGGACTGCCCCGACGTGCAATGCTTTATGGTACGGCCGAGAGTGGGGAGAGTCTACTCTCCCTCTCGAAATTCTCTCACATGGCCAGCGAATATATAGCCTCTGCCAGGGAAGTCCTACTCACTGCCTTCTCGTGGCGGGGGTGTTGTTTACGAAAGTGAGAGGACGAAAAGCGAATGTCTGGCGCTATAACCGGATTGGTGGACACGGAGGGTCCACCTAGGGGAGTTGGAAAACCCTGATTCCAAACCAATGGTGCACATGGGCTCCAGTATCCTGAGGGAACAAATGGCGTATGAATCAATCGTTGATCACCGGCTACCATGGGACTGCATCTCCTCACGATGCTCCACTGCTTTGTGGATCAGACCTTTAGGTCAAAGGCTCGGGGTGTGGTCCCCTAAGAAAACCACCTGCTTCGGTTTGGGCACCCGGGCAGTATCACAGCCCACACACAAATGAATGAAATTATGAACTCTATTGACGATATCCCTGGTCATACTAAAAGCAAGACAATTGACATTATTATTATTATTACCTTTATTATTATTATTATTATTATTATTATTATTATTATTATTATTATTATTATTATTATTATTATTATTATTATTATTTACCATATCGCTAACTCACCCCCTTTTATCCCCAATTTGTGTAACCTTACTTTTCAACTTATGCAGCAGCTCGCCCATGTTGGAAAATCTGTCCCATCTAAACGATCTCCAGTCACTGTCTGGTTGAAAGTGAATGCTTCCGCCGATAATGAATACTGAAGCAGTCTTTCTGAAACCACGTACGCCGTTCAAGCTGGCTTCCTTCAACGTTCGCACACTAATGCATATCAGACAACAGATGGGGCTGGCTATGTCTTTGGAAGGTCTTAATGTTGATGTTTGTTGTCTATCCGAGACCCGTATTCAAGACTCTAGTGAAGTACTACAAATCCGCTCCCCATCTGTCGCCTCGAAGAGCTTGTTCCACGTGCGCTTATCCGGGGACCCTGTGGCATCTTCGTCTGGTCTTGCTGGCGTTGGTGTCGCACTAAGCGCTAGAGCTGAGGCAGCACTAATCGATTGGATTCCCATTAACAGTCGGTTATGTGCTGTTAGATTAGAAAGTTCCATCAAAGTGAGAAGAAATCGGCGTGAGAAACGGTGTCTTTTCGTCATCTCCGCCTATGCCCCGACAGATTGCAGCCCGGATGCAATCAAGGATGAGTTTTACCATCAGTTAACAGTTCTTCTCCAGAAAGCGCGTTCGACAGATATTGTAGTACTAGCCGGAGACTTGAATGCTCAGGTCGGGCGTCTAGGCACAGAAGAGAGTCGTTTAGGTGGCCGATGGGGACTTGTTGGTCGCAGGACAGATAACGGGGACCGTTTGCTGCAACTGTGCACAGACCACAACCTGTTTCTGGCCAGCACTTACTTCCGGCACAGTCATCGCTGGTGTGCCACCTGGCGTCCTCCCTCTGCATCTGAAGCCTGGACTCAGATTGATCACATCGCGATCAGCTACCGCTGGCGTGGTTGTGTACAAGACTGCCGCTCCTTTTGGAGTACCTATCTGGAGTCTGATCATGCCCTGGTCTGCGCCAATCTCACCTTACTTTTGAGTGGCCGAAGGATTGACCACCACCAACGGATTGATATTAGTAAACTGGCTGCAACTTCTGTTGCAAGTAAGTATCGAGCGGAGCTAGCCTCTAGGCTAGCTACCACCCCACCGAAAAGTATAGACGAGCATTGGTTGCATCTTCACGACGCCATGGAAATGGCGAGTAAAGCCGCTTGCGGCTTCGCGAAACGTCCCGCTTACAAGCACTGGGTTTCTTCTGGCTCCTTACAACTGATGGAAGCCCGTCGGTCTACTCCGGGTGACCGTGAGTTTGACCACAAACGAAGGCTGTTACGTAATGAAATCGGGCAAAGCTTGCGTAAGGACCGGGAAGCCTGGTGGTCGGAGCGTGCTAATGAGATGGAAGCAGCAGCTGCATCTGGTAACTGCCGGAAGCTCTTCCAACTCATCCGAGCCACTGGCAGCAAGAAGTCTGGTGTGAGTGAAACAATCTACGAGGATGACGGGATGCCAATCACTAACATCTGTCGACGTCTTAGACGATGGGCGGAATTTTTCGAAGAGCAGTTCAACTGGCCTGCTGCTCCGGCAACATCAACCAGCTTGTCCTGCCCCCCATGGCCGGTGACGACTGATCCACCAAACGAGGCGGAAGTCCGCAAGGAACTCCAACTCTTGAAGCGTTATAAATCACCTGGCCCAGATGACTTACCTCCGGCTCTTTTTAAAGATGGTGGTGACTTTCTGGCTAAGGAACTGACTGCGTTGTTTGGAAAGGTTTGGGAGCAAGAAAGTGTTCCAACATCTTGGAATGAGTCAATAGTCGTCCCTATCTTTAAAAAGGGTTCACGTTGTTCCTGTAGCAACTATCGGGGGATAAGTCTACTTTCGATCGCGTCGAAACTATTGGCTTCTATCATTCTTCGTAGGTTGTTTAAAACCCGAGAACGTTTGACTCGCGAGGAGCAGGCTGGTTTTCGTTCAGGTCGAGGATGCATTGATCATATATTCACTCTCCATTAATTGTTAGAACACCGTCATACTTCTCACAGGCCAACAATCATAGTGTTTCTTGATATCAGGGCTGCCTTCGATTCGTTGGACAGGAATGTTCTCTAGGATTGTCTATTGAAGAAGGGTGTACCTGAGAAGTTTATTAACATCTTAAAGGCCCTGTATAAGAACACCTCAGACAGAGTGAGGGCATAAAACCACCTTTCTTATTTGTTCCATTCAAGCAGTGGGGTTAGGCAGGGTTGCCCAATCTCACCATTCCTCTTCAACTTTGCCATCGACGACATCCTGGAAACAGCTCTGATGGATGTAAGTAATGGCGGTGTGGATATGTTGCCTGGAGAACGACTTCTCGACCTTGAGTATGCGGACGATATTGTCTTACTGTGCGATAATGCCCAAAGCATGCAATCCGCACTTAATCAGTTGGCAATCAGTGTCCGCAGGTACGGCATGTGCTTTGCACCCTCCAAGTGCAAAGTACTCCTACAAGACTGGCAGGATTCTCATCCTGTACTCACCCTGGATAGTGAGGAGATCGAAGTAGTTGAGAAGTTCGTGTATCTAGGTAGCTATATAAGTGCTGGTGGTGGCGTGATTGATGAGATTGATGCACGTATAATGAAAGCCAGAGCGGCTTATGCCAATCTGGGCCATCTTTGGCGCCTTCGTGATGTTAGTCTGGCTGTAAAAGGTCGGATCTACAACGCGTCGGTGAGAGCAGTTTTGCTCTATGCTTGTGAAACCTGGAATCTCCGAGTTGAGGATGTTAGACGTCTCTCTGTGTTCGATCATCGTTGTCTCCGAAGGATTGCTGACATCCAGTGGCAACACCATGTTAGTAATGCAGAGGTTCGGCATCGTGTGTTCGGGCGCAGAGACGATAATTCAATTGGTGTCACCATCTTGAAACACCGACTTCGGTGGCTCGGACATGTTTTACGAATGTCGTCCCAGAGACTTCCGCGTCGTGCATTATTTGCCGACCCTGGGACTGGTTGGAGAAAGCGGAGAGGAGGTCAGTGTATGACATGGTGTCGTGGCATGAAAGAGAGCTGCAAAGGGCTAGCTTCTGTTGGTCCTTCACGACTCCCTGGATGGGGTCCGAGAGATGGTGCAACACAGTGGCTAGAGACGTTATCAGATATGGCTCAGAATAGAAGCCAGTGGCGATCCTGCTGCAACCTTCTTTTACTTTCTACATAAAGAGTGGTTCTAACTTTCCTAACTGAAAGAGTCTTCTGGTTGTACATTTCAGCCCGCCTTATCCTTTATCTTCCTACTTTCATTATTTTGTGTGGCGCATATGTATCTGGTGCCCTTTTGTACCAATATATATGTGTTTAAATAAATAAATAATTATGGTGTAGGAGTAGGTTGGAAGAAAGCTAGGGGCGGCCAGACCAAAACATGGCATAAATCCATGAAGTCGCTGACAAGTGGACTGAGCCATGTTGGTAGGTGTAGACTACCTGGTTGTGATTCGCGAGATGATAGCAACCGATGGTTAGAGACCTTGAATGACATGGCTCAAAATCGTTTGAATGGCGAAGGTGCATCCACTCTCTGTGCTCTCCCAAATTTTAATCTTCAGAATTCTTCATGTCTCTATCTTTTTCTCTTTCCAAATTTATTTCACTGTACTATACTCCTTCAATAATTTCTTCAAACCCTAATCTTTTGGATTTCTGATTATACTCCTACTACTTCTACCACTATGGGATTTGAATCGACAACTTCATCTCTGTGCTAATGTGGTATGGCAACTCGAACTGATGTACGCACGTACGAAGTTCTACGTTGTAACTGATTGACTGGAATGGTGTATCCAACTCCTCAACTGACTAAATTTGTCATATCGGTTAGTCAAAACCAACTATCTTCGTGTGTTTCATTTTTTGCCATAAAAGTCAATATGATAACGGAAATGGATTCCAAATATTATTGTATATTTCCAAATACTAGTTCCAGTTTACATGCGCACATCTACGAGGTAGGTTTATCTCGCTAGCATGGATCAAATCAACTAATTATACAAATTGGTTTGATCACTTCTAGCTTTCTCCAAACCTATACGTCAACCACTCAGCATTGCATGTGAAGATAGTCGGTAGTTGGGCCTACGTAATACGTCTCAATCACCCTAGCCGATGAAAGTCCAGTTTATCAACATTCACTTTACTTATCCATTGTTATTATTGATCTGTACCTCCTAAAAAAGTATTTCCCCATAAAAATGATCTCGATAACTGTATAGTCTAATTTAACATAAATCGGAAATCTAATTGGCAATTATATATATATATATATATATATATATATATATATATATATATAAGTTTACTCGAACTATGTAATCATTGTATGTATTCTAAGAAGCTTTAATGACAATTCAAATTCCACAGGAACGTCATACAGTACTTGGATCTGGGAAAAAGCCAACATTAATGTGTCACCTATCCTGTTTTCTTAAAAGTAATGAGTGTCCAGAGGATATTTCACAGTAAGTGATTAACAGTTTTTATCCTACTTTCAAGGTATCTATATTCATTATGTTCAAGTGAACGTAGATTTCAGTGAATTCATTTTCAGACTGCCATACCAACTTACAAAAAGCCTTGCATATTTTTGTGCATGTAAATGTCAGCCACTTTACAATGAAATCTAGTCTGTTTTAATTATATCTGTTTCACTCAGTGTTCTCAACTTATTGCATCTTACATAATGATAGTGGCAGTCAAAATGTACACTATAAATTCTCCATCAAACTGTTTCTGCGATAAGATGATGGTTGGCATAGCTGATGCCTAACCAGTGATTAGGATGTTTTCACGTGTAACAAGTTATATTATTCGTTTACTTAGCCTGAGCCGAGCTGCTTGGCTTGATATTCCGCCTTGCAGTAGTGATGATGGCTTACATTAATTAATGTTGCTACACTCAGACTCTGTATTTCATGAATGTTGTAAACAGAGGCCGATATGTAGCGTACATATTGCCTTATGATTTTGTTAAATTGTAGCATTCCTTAATGCCAGTTATGTTGATAATGTCAATGAATTAGCATAACGTTGTGGTGTTTGTTGATGCTATTGAGATTTCATTGAATGAGTTTTCTTTTGTCTGTGTCATTGTTTTGAATGTTTAGTGCTTTGTGATCACTGATTTGAATGGTTTCATATGTAACAAGTTATATTGTTCGTTTATTTAGCCTGAGCCGAGCTGCTTGGCTTGATATTCCGCCTTGCAGTAGTGATGATGGCTTACATTAATTAATGTTGCTACACTCAGACTCTGTATTTCATGAATGTTGTAAACAGAGGCCGATATGTAGCGTACATATTGCCTTATGATTTTGTTAAATTGTAGCATTCCTTAATGCCAGTTATGTTGATAATGTCAATGAATTAGCATAACGTTGTGGTGTTTGTTGATGCTATTGAGATTTCATTGAATGAGTTTTCTTTTGTCTGTGTCATTGTTTTGAATGTTTAGTGCTTTGTGATCACTGATTTGAATGGTTTCATATGTAGCAAGTTATATTGTTCGTTTATTTAGCCTGAGCCGAGCTGCTTGGCTTGATATTCCGCCTTGCAGTAGTGATGATGGCTTACATTAATTAATGTTGCTACACTCAGACTCTGTATTTCATGAATGTTGTAAACAGAGGCCGATATGTAGCGTACATATTGCCTTATGATTTTGTTAAATTGTAGCATTCCTTAATGCCAGTTATGTTGATAATGTCAATGAATTAGCATAACGTTGTGGTGTTTGTTGATGCTATTGAGATTTCATTGAATGAGTTTTCTTTTGTCTGTGTCATTGTTTTGAATGTTTAGTGCTTTGTGATCACTGATTTGAATGGTTTCATATGTAGCAAGTTATATTATTCGTTTATTTAGCCTGAGCCGAGCTGCTTGGCTTGATATTCCGCCTTGCAGTAGTGATGATGGCTTACATTGATTAATGTTGCTACACTCAGACTCTGTATTTCATGAATGTTGTAAACAGAGGTCGATATGTAGCGTACAAGTGTTATTTAGTTTGTAGGCTTTATCATTCTTGAATATTAAATATCTTGTTAAACAATAAATCGTTACATTATTGTGTATCTAGTAACTGAATCGCGTTTTTTTAAAAAATATTTGTTATTGTCCGTGTTTTTCAACGATGAATACCTCCAGTTAGTATATTTAGAATAGTTTTGCATAAATTTATTTTTGTCAATCAATTATTCGTCTTCTTATGTTTAAAGAATTTGCCAAAGTTCTTTTAGCTGACAATCAAACTATTGCTCCTTGACTGCTTTAATCTTCATATCTCTTTTGTGGTAAACGAGGTGTTTCCGAGCACTTTTAGGGACATGAGGGCAGTTATCATACTTAAGGATTTTTGTCTGTTTTTGGAATCCGTGAGGTAAAGTTGTGTGTGTTATTTTTGCAGTCAACGTTCCTGATGCCTCCTTCTGTTGTGGGAAGGTAATATAGCTTTAGGTGCTGTCTGTCTGAGGTAAACAGTGATATCGTCACATTTCTCTACGATAAGCAATAAGACTTTGCCTCCAGACTATGAGTTTTCCGAGTTTAATTTTACTGCCCTCCGATCTATATGCCTGGAATGGTGAGACGTAAAGCAACAAGTGTTCCTGCCTGTATAGCTTGGTTGGGTCGTCACGATTCTTAAGCCCGATCATCAAGGTTATAGCCACGGTCAGGGGTTTATCCATACTATAATAACTGATATAGTGTATTAAGTCTACAAATTAACCTGTTAAAGTGGTTGAAACGAGTTGTCGTCTTCTAATTATAGAGTAATTTGTAAGAGATTTGGTAGGTTGTTTGTGCAATAGAACGTATCAGTCAAGGAGAATCGAATTATGACAATTGGAGTATGTTTCTTAATGCAAATAAGTGACGAGTAAAAATATTTCTTCGTTGGTTGTTTATAAACATTTTGTGTTATTTGGTACACCATACGAAAATAAGCAACCACATCTGTGAATCAGTCATTTGATTTGCCCCTAAATTCCCTCATGCAGCCATCCATTTTCAGCCTATTTCAGATAAGTCCTACTCCCTGCCTTGGCACGTTAATTGTGTTGTTTAGGGAAATGAGAGGTCGGAAAGCCCACTTCCGGACCCTAAACCGAGTTGGTAGATGCGTAAGGCTCGCCTTGGGGGGTTGGAAAACCTTGATTTCAAAACAATATTATGTATAATCTCTATTATCTTTAGAGAATGATTGGCGTATGGAATCATTGTGGTTACTGGCTACCATGTAATGTCGTCTACAGACATTCCACTCCTTTGTGGATTAAATCTCTAGTTCAGATGCCCTTGTGGTGGTTTCCTAAATAGACCACCTTTTTCGGTTTAGCGCCAGAACAGTTTCTCAGCCCGCACACAAATATTATTTAGCGCATACTATTCATAGTGCCGACCTATACCATATTTAATGTGTATGAAATAAATAAAAATACTGACCTAACCAATAAAGTTTTCTGTTTCCTCTTGGTTTTTCTACTCCATTTTCATGTTCCGCTAATTTCGTTTTTGCATAAAATGTTTTGATTGTGTTGTTCTCGTTTATATCCATTCTAGACTGATAGGTTTTAATAAATTGTCGACTGTCGATCAGGATGCAGTTGTTTTGGCATTTCGTGAAAAATCAAAGTATGCTATTTATATTCACCCATAATGTTCATTGTCTCTTTGTGATCTTGTTTTTAACATTCACTTTGAATATGATCTTACTAACTAGACACAATTCTTACCATATTTCTGCTTGTTAGTAATTTCATTTATTCGTGACAGGGCTCATGTGTATATAAAGTGTTGTTTGTAATTCTTTTCTGTCCTTATGAAATTACGTCGTAAAAAAGGCCAATGAAACTGCTGGTGAAAAACACTACCCTCTTGTGTGTCTGATGTATCATATCTACAATTCGAAAAATGTTTGCCATGTGTCCATGAATTATAATAATATAACGTATAGGGAGGATTTGAAAATGACCAACTTGGTCTCGTGTGCAAAGCTAATATCACTTTCCGGCTGCCCACACCGTGGAAGGGTATTTCTTGAGGGACCTGAAAAAGAAGTTGGATTAGTATTGGTCATAACGACCTGGGAGCGTGACCGCAGAGCCCAAGGGACAACTGCTTGAGGCCGGTTACGCACGTCCTTTTTGTGGGGGATTTTTGACGTGTTAGCTCCGTTCTTCAAAGGACCTTACCGCCGGAGACGGAAATCCGTGGGATAAGGCGAGGTGTGCATTTTTAGGGTCGACCTTTTCTAACCCCACCTCTCCTTGTGGGAAGTCAGCATCGCTGTTATGCTGGTTGTCTGAAGGAAACACCTTACTGCTGTCACACCTCTGTACAGTCGGCAGTACGACTTCGCCTTCGGACCTTGGGATTGCTGCTTTTAGTCTTACCGCTCTTCAACCGACCTGCCTGGCATGGTAGGACCTTGGAAAACGATTGTTCCAGCCAGTATAGCTCGATTGGTTCATCATGATAGGCAAACCTGACCACCACGTCAAGGTAGCAGCAACCTAAGAAGTTCTACGTTGTGACTTACTGACTGATATAACGTGTACTCGAATGAGTTTTATCGATTGTAAGTTTTAGTGTATATAGGTAGACGAATTCGAAATGAGTAGAATAGACTGTAATACTGGTATTAAGATTTAGTGGACTGAGATTTGATGCCTTTTAATAGTTTCACCTATGTACTAGCGTTACTGGAGGGCGCACCCATGGTAAGATCACTTGACATCGTTTACTCACAACTTTGTAACTGTTTTCGGTTTCATGGCATCACTCTTTACTTTCTGAAACCTTGAAACCTCTGCGGAAAATCAGTATGGCAAGATGTATAATACTTGGTGTATTGTTCTTCGATCTCTTGCCTCATACTTTGCAAGATCATGAGTAAAACCTTAATCTTTTGCTTGAAACACAACTTTTAGTCATATTGCTCCCCAGTTGACATGAGCATTCTAGTCATTCCTGCTCATTCGGAACATCGAAATAGGGAAACTCGACCACCGAGCCAAGGTGACAGTACAATGAAGTGTGTAGTCTTTCAAGAAGCTATGTGCACTTATTCCGTTTATTCGAATAACCGGGGTATGTTTTCAAACCATTTGAAAAGAAAACAACCACTGAGGTAGAATGTAAAATCACATCAATAACTAGTCGACATCAGTATTTTGTGCCCACTAATGACTAACGTCGAGAACTAATCCTCGGAGTTCTAAAGAGAAACCATGACCAGTAGAGTTTTGCCTTATCGGATTTAAGACAATTACCTACAAATAGCACTGGAAGATAGTTAGGCCCTATTGTAAATTGACTGGAGTTAAAAATATAAGTCATTGCATGCTAACTCGGTGATCTTAAAAATGAAGTGCTCGTTGCAAGGTCCTGTGTTTGATCTGCGTTTGGGTGACGGTTGGGTTACTGCTGAGGAGTTTTACACTATAAAGGAGTGGATGTTCAGTTCTTGCTGCTTTCCAATGGTCGTCCAAATTAAGTCTGTTGAAGTTGTAAACTCTAAAATTCAATAATCTTTACGAACCGCTTACATGAATGATTATTAGCAAGACAGGAATGTACGTGAAAAACTTTTGTCAAATTATTACTCATACAAACTTCTATATTCTCAGTATTCTAATGTATATACAATACTTTCTTAACGACATTTAAATTATGAAGAATGGGGATCAAGTTACATCACATACAGTAGAGTTAAATCGGATTCGATCAATTAACCGTATAATTGGAGTATTAGTTGATCCACTAAGCTTATCACTTTTTACTGAGTTCATAACACGATGTAGTGTTTCTAATAGCTGTTTTTAAAAAAAGCATATTGTATACATTTTCATTTGTATTATATATTTTTCTATGCATATATTTCAAGGGAAAATCGTAAACGTCCTGGACAACAAACTGAACAAGACTCAACATTGAAAAAAGCTAAATTAAATGGAGATGTTGAACAGGTTAGTTAGTGAGCGAGTGAATTAATGAATGAATTGACTATACTTTCAGAAGAGGGTTTTGTGGAGATTTTAGTAATCTTATAGTTGAAATCATGAGTCAATTGAAGCTAGACCACCATGGAAAACCTGGAAGCACTGGACAGGTTTTCCATGGTGGTCTAGCTTCAATTGACTCATGACTTCAACTATACTTTCGTTTAATCAATACGACTACTACTGATTTAATATAGATTATACTAGTACAGATTTATTAACATGTCAGAGAGCCACATTTCCTGTGTAAGGATTAAAAATATTAGCTGGTTGCACAAAACAAAATAAATGGAGCGGAGCTGTAATCTGTGCCCTGGGAGTTCGGCATCAAGTCACTTTATATATATATATATATATATATATATATTGACAAATGCTTATTTTATTGTATCCTAGGATGAATTACGTAAACAAAATAAATTATTATGGAGTTTAAGAGATAAATTAGAAAGCCAAGTATCCAAAGAAGCGCTAATTGGTTTATTGGAATACAATGAACAACACGTTCCATCTGGATTATCTCGTTTATTAGATGCAGTTGCTGACGCTATGATATTCGGTGCTCTATCATATTGTCCTAGTTGTAAAAATGGACCATTACATTATAGTAATGGACAGTTTAAATGTAGTGCTATGGCAACTGAATGGGTTCAATGCCTTTATCATACACGGACACCTGATCGAAGAAAGTTTAAAATACCTAAGGAATATCAGGATGTTGATTTTTTGTAAGTTTATTATTTCCATTGATGGTGTAAACAATCCAATAGTCATATTTAATTTTTACATCTTAAAGAGTAAATTCACATAGCAGCACTAAAATGTAATCTCTAATTCATATAGTGTACTATGTCTTTGGGTGTTACAAAGCGACTGAGATACCATTAGAATTCATGTGAACTAGAATTTAGGCTTTTTCATTTTAATGTGCTTGAATAGTTTGGAAATATGCGGTTTATTTTAAAATGTGTCATCAAAGTAACGTACTCATCAGAGAGCTTGATGTATCCGCACCGACAAATATTTGTCCCAGGTTTCGGCGTCATCTGTCACTGTGAGTGACTGTAGGTTACACATGATCAATCTTCATATTGTAAAATCCAGGGTTGTTTTTATACCGATCTTGAGCACCATGGTAACAATATTCTGTACCATCAGTTCCGCTTTAAACCCATCAAACTCATGGTCATTGAGTAACCAATCATGTTTACAATTCAGCAAATGTAATATGTACACAAGTAAAAAGGGAAAGGGGTTGCATTTTGAAATAGAATTATTAGCATTCTTGGTGTAGAAAATTTATTAAAGAGAACATCTGTGTAGATGAATGGCTGAATAATAAAGTATCAACACCTAAAAATGAAATATAATAAGTGATTCAGCAATTAAAAACGAAAAGAAAAATAGGTAAATACCCTTGGAAAAGGTTCTTATAATGTAATATGTATATACGAACAAAGAGATTTCAATGTGTTAAGTGGTTAGTGGTGATTTACAGGGAGCTCTTAATCACGCTACTTGGTACGCTGACTGAATAATAATATTATGTGATTACCCGAAATGAGTTTGGTGCATATGGTTCGAAACCGCAATATTATGGTTAAAAGCTATAAACCTATTTCATTGTCAGTTTTACAATTGGTTTCATTTGTTTCGCTTAGACCCACCAAAAATGCTTTCATTTTGTATCCATTTGTTAGTTCAATCGTTGTTTTTTCTTCCATTGTTTTTCAACTTAATTAGAAAAAATTACAAATATGTCAAGCGTACACGGTTATTTCCACCTGATTCAGTGTCTGATATTACCGGTCCATTGACTGGCTTGTTTTTTTACATTACAAATGGACCGTTCGATAGTGGGAAAACAAAAGAACAATTAATACGTGAATTTGCCAATCTAGGTGGTGCTATTATGAGTAAAGTATGCATTTTGACTGTTTGTGTCATTCCTTATTGTTGTTGTTTTCCTTATTTTTCACAAAATATTAAAGAACGATAGTGCCAATACAGGTTTGAACATTCAAATGTATGTATATGTGTATATTAACCTTCGGGTTTGAGGTTCAATTTCAGTTCACCTACTTTTATTTGAACAGTGGAATAGTGTCCTCAGTTTTTATACAAAACAACAATCACGGGCTATAGACGTTCTGTTGTTCAGTCAGATTGCGTTACGATATGGGTTTCCTATAATACACCCAAACCTGTCAAGCAAATGAGAAGAGTGGAATTAGTAGAAAGACTATTATCAAACAGAAGTATAATCTACGCGAATTATATATATATATATATATATATATATATATATATATATATCCTGATTTAAACAAGTACATAATCTGTAAGCCTTGACTAGGGACATAGTCGATGTCTTCTCATGGCCTATTTCGTCACTAGTTCCTCACCTGTTGTTTGATCTTGGGATGTGAAAACTAGACACAGGCACATGATATACCTATACTCGACCATACTATCACAAAGTCAGTACAGGGACGTGTATTCTCTGTTGATGTTATGATACTGTAATCAATCAGTTTTCAGTAAATAAATGAACACAATTTTTTGATGTAACATGGGAAAAACTATCAAGAAATTCATGAAACGTTGAAGGCTTTTCTTAGCAAAGATAGCAGTAAAAGGAGGCATTTTTCACTTGAACCAATAAGTTGCAGCGTAGCTTGCGAAGACTGAAATGGTGATGAAAATCCAACCTGATCATTAACGTTCTGTATCGTGGAAACATCGGACGTTTGTCGTTGTCACGTTTTTCTGCTGCTTAGAAACTGTCCTAATAAAATGAATCTGTCAAGTCTGTACACATTCTAGAAAAAATATTAGATTATAAGGATAGGGTTGTAGGGTTTGTTGCATTTTGTTGGTCACGAACCTACCTAGTTTAGATGACCATTGAAAACTAGAAGCACTGGACCGTCGTTTGGTCATCATATGAAACTCTTCAGGTTTGCACACGAAGTCAAGATCTTGGATTTGATTCCCTGATCTAGTGATCTAGTGGTTAAGCACTTGCACGCGAGACTGATAGGTCCTGGGTTCGAATCTCGCGAGAAGGGATCGTGGATGCGCACTGCTTATAAGTCCCACAATAGGACGAAACGGCCGTCCAGTACTTCCAGGTTTTCCATGGTGGTCTAGCTTCAATTGACTCATGATTTCAACTATATAATACTACTAAAATCTCCACAAATCATATCAGTCATTCACAACGTAGAACTTCGTACGTGCGTACATCAGTTCGAGTTGCCATACCACATTAGCACAGAGATGAAGTTGTCGATTCAAATCCCATAGTGGTAGAAGTAGTAGGAGTATAATCAGAAATCCAAAAGATTAGGGTTTGAAGAAATTATTGAAGGAGTATAGTACAGTGAAACAAATTTGGAAGGAGAAAAAGATAGAGACATGAAGAATTCAGAAGATTAAAATTTGGGAGAGCACAGAGAGTGGATGCACCTTCGCCATTCAAACGATTTTGAGCCATGTCATTCAAGGTCTCTAACCATCGGTTGCTATCATCTCGCGAATCACAACCAGGTAGTCTACACCTACCAACATGACTCAGTCCACTTGTCAGTGACTTCATTGATTTATGCCATGTTTTGGTCTGGCCACCCCTAGCTTTCTTCCAACCTACTCCTACACCATGAAACATTGCACGTCGGGGCAAAACATGTAGTTGTGTTGTTTAATTTATTTATTGAACACAGCTAGTTTTATGTTCTCAATTTTGAATCACACTTAACCCCTGGGTATAGGTTAATGTTACCATCTGGCTATTGCTTAAACCTAAGAAGAATAGTTTGAGTTCTTCACAACTCCCTCGTTGGGGCCCTAGACATTGTCCAACACACTGAATTGATACGTTATCTAATATGACTTTAGAATAAAGCCCAATGGTGTTCCTGCTGTAACTTTCATCTACTTTCTTTATATAAGTGAGAGGAACCTCTTTAATTGAGAGAATCCTTGCTGGTTGTATTTTACCTTAACTAAACTGCTTCTCCTACAACTTTTTTTGGCTCTCGTTCACTAATTTCTATTCACTTCTTGCTATGCTTACCTTCCTTTCTCTATCTTTTCACAATATAATTTTTATCATGTGGCGCATACATATTTTGATGCTATTTTTTCTACCAATATTTATTTGTTTAAATAAATACATAAATCATATCTACGAAGTACTACTGTTTAAAATTCATTTGGTTCAACCAACCTCTACCCTTTTGTGTAGTAAATATTTGCTATTCAAGTCAGTCGACAAAGTTTTTTGGGGAAAGGTTGAACTTTTCTCTCTAGCCTCGGACAAAATACTACCGAAAGTCATCCACTTGAACCGCATACAGTTTAATTCCTGAACCTATTCGCTATTCTACCTCTTGATGTTTCGTATAAACCTGTTAATTTTTATGCATTAATCGATCACTTATTGAAAATTGTGGGAATCCCATAATAATGATAACAATAATAATTATTATTATTACTCATAATGTAGCTCAGTGTTAATTCAATTGTTGTCTCCACATTGAATGAATTGGAACAAATTCAAAGTGATAATAATGATAAGAGTAAAACTTATTCGAAAGAAGCTTTGACAACTGCACGTTCTTATGGTTTGCGTGTAATTAATGAACAATTCCTATCAGAATTCAGTCCTAGCAAATTGGAGTCGAAAATTCAGCAACTCTTAGCCAAATATACAATATCCAATTGGGAGGTTAAGGTATGTACACTTTACGCATATTCAAACGGCGAAACAAAGTGATCGTCTCTGGTTTTGTTTCCTTTTTTAATAGGAAATGTTTGTTTACATTAAATGGTATTGTTCACTAGCAACTATTGTGCACTACAATTTCAGTGATTAGATGGTAAAGAGCATGGTCACTACAAAACTCCAAGGTTTTTGGGTTCAATCCGTGATAGTGCTGTAGATGCATACACTTATGATGAGTCACAGTTCGTTTAAAAATAGTTATTCGGTGCTCCTTGGTCTTTAATAACTATTCCTAACCAAAGTCAGTCAATCCGTTATGTAAAGTATCCTTTAAATTGACCAGTCTTCACAAATCTCTCATCCTAGCCATAAGAAATATGATTCTAAAAATATGAGTAACCGGTTTGCATAGCTCGCTTTAATCTTATCAGCATAATTCACCTGTGACGTGGACAAAATGTCCATCTGCCTGACGAGCATACTACGCATCAATTCGTTCCGCTCTACTCTATGGCTGTAGAACGTGGCTTTCAAAAATGGGTTATTAGTATTTGATCACGGATAACTTTGAAGCATGGGTAGCACATGTTTGGATCACTGAGAGTAAGAACTATTGAGATTACGTGCAGATTGCTAAGTAAATATGATAAATCAGTTCATTAATTAGTAAATCTCTTTTGAATAAGATAGTTGGAACATGTATTACGTTACATAGCCTTGACCAGATCACTTACCTCGACATGATATTTTTGTAGTAGAATGGAAGGAAGCTAGATGGAACGGGCGACCAAACCGAAATTTCCTCTAGCTTTCTTCCAATCTATTCTTATATCGACAGAGATATCACGTCGAGTTATGTGGTGTGGTTAAGATTACGTAATACGTGTTCCAACTATTTTATTTCAGTTCATAAAGTCATTAACTATTGAACTAAGCTTCGTTGGTTGGTTGATTTGTTCAGACTATCAGGTTGGGATTCTCTCGATCGATCATAGTTGTAGATGTATTGCATAGCTGAAATATCAACCAGGCGAATTTTATTTACTGTCATATTAGAATATTAAGTCTAATATTCATTTATTGCATTCCTTATTTTCTTTCCTTCTCTATGGATAATTACAACTATATTACTATTGGGATTGTTCTTACTGAAAAGGCTCGTGCAATAAAAGGTAAACACATATATGTTCTTTTTAATTAATTATTTCTTGTATTAATTAGTGTATTTTGTTTTACTAAACAAAATGTTTGAAAGTTCTAATCTGGTGTTATTAAAAAACTGGGTTGGGCATTACTAAAACAATCACACGGATTACTCAGTTTTGTGTGTGTGTGTGTGTGTGTGTGTTGGTCATAATGTTTTACTAATAACGGTAACTGAAATCGCTTTTCTTTTCCTAAATTTTGTTTCCATGGCCTTAGGTCTGTTTTTTTTACTGATTACTTTTTCAGTGATTTGTGGTTCACTAATTTTGTTTGTATCTCAGGGTCATGTTCTTATTACTACATATGTACTGAGTTAAACCATTTTGGTTTTTTTTTACATAAATATCAAAATTCCTGCATTTCGTTTCCTAGTGTTAGCAACCTGCTTCGGTTTGGGCGCCCGAGCATTATCGTAGCCCTCATACAAATCAATGATAACTGCCCTCTAGCTTCATCCTTATTGTGTGGCGCATGTGTTTTTGGTTCCTCCTTGTACCAATGTTTATGTATTCGAATAATTAATAAATAAATGTTTGTCCGTGCTGCCATTATCGAGTTCACAGAAAGACCAGACTGACCAGTTGCAGTCCTAACGCATCGATGGGAAGATTCAAACAAACAATAATGAATGAACTTAATCTAATTACTTTGTCAGTGTATTACACTCTCACCATTCCTTTTTGCTTAGCTTTTTAGCACTGACCTTATATAAAATAGTATACTAGGTCCTTTACATAATATACATATTAAGTTATACTCAATCTAGGCTTCAATATCTTTGTTTCAACGATTACATAAGTGCTAACATTGTCTTAATGTTAATTTACTTATATAGTTGAGAAAGAGGTGAACAATTTACCATTAAATGATGATAACGGTGACCAAGAAATGATGCGAATGATAATGAAAAATGGTGCCGTGGTTGATCCTCAATCAGAACTGGTCAATAAAGCCACAGTATTAAAAGATGAGAAGGGAGAATTCATGACTGCTGTACTCGGTATGGTTGATTTAATTAAAGGTTCCAATTCATTTTACAAGTAAGATATATTTGTGTAGTACATTTTTGTTGTTGATCGTGTATTTGTGTGTGTAAGTTATAGTGTCATTTCATTTTTCCTGTGAAAGCACGTATTACTGTTTATCAAGATTACGACAGAAGGTTCGATATAGTTATTTCTGATTGGTGGCCTTATTCATACAAGAAGCCTGTGATTTCTTAATAGGCAATGTTAACTGTCCAACTAGTGATTAATCCTGAAGAACACCATTTGGGATTAAAAACTCCCCATAGGCTCTGACTCGACCATTAGTAATCGGGTAAAGAACTTCCCATGGTTTAAATACTTTCCTCGTACACCTTTTAATTACAAATGCTGTCACTAAATCTCTCATTCAATGGAGCCCAACATCTCTTTAAGGTCATGAAAATACATTTATAGCCGGAATTAAATGAGTGAACTTATGACTTTCCATAGTTGACTGTTTCCTAACTTCAGATAATTGTTTAACCAGTGGTGTTATGTCACAAACTAACAATCGCTTCTCTTTTTTCTATTTGTTCCGGCTTTAAATAAGAATGCTCATCACGAATCCCACGTATAAAACGTCTTCACTGTACTTGGACGGGTGTTACCAATTTTCAGCTTAGCTATATGGTGATGCTACAGGACGTAGCCAAACATTTGGAGATAATGAAAATTGGAAACACCCTTTGTTCAAAGATATCAAATTTAACATATGCATGGCACGACTACTCGACTGTAACCTTGCATAATTAGTCTCATTATGTGAGGCTAGCGTCCTCGAAAATGACCCAAATTGTTTTAAGTCGTCCTGGCTTTCATTATACATAGATTGATCTTATCTGCTATATCGTCACCAATAGTGTTGCTTCACCGTACAAATGCAATATTACTTGACTGTTTCTTGTGTCTCATTATTATGAGAAAGTGTATGTACAAGCTGTTGCCAGCTTTGAGGAAATATCTTTCCTTTAGATTGCACAATATATGAGAAATGATCAAAATCATCCTATGATAACCGTAGAGGGATTAGTTTGACTAATATGGCGTCTGAAACACTAGTCTCAATAATTATCGGTCGTGGCTGTATCGACCACATATTCACTATTCGTTAGGTCTTAGAACACAGACATGCTTATCAGCGTCCGACAATGATAGTTTTCCTTGACTTAAAAGCAGCATTTGACTCTGCAGACCGAGAGGTTCTGTGGCAGTGTCTGTCATTGGAAGGTGTACCTCAGAAGTACATAAACCTTGTAAAGGCTCTTCACTCGAACACTACCAGTCGAGTGAGAGCCTGTGATGAACCGTCATATGATTTCACAACATCAAGTGGTGTCAGACAAGGTTGTCCACTATTCCCGTTTTTGGTTAACTTCATTATAGACCTATTGCTGGAAATAAAACTCTCGTCGACTGAGTTTTCAGCAATTGATCTCCTACCAGGAGGTGCACTTATCGACTTAGAATACGCAGACGACATTTTCCTGTTTGGTGACGACGCTGAAAAAAAAGCAAAATCTTCTGTTAGCACTGAGTAACAATGCCAGGATGTTTGGGATGCGTTTCTCCCCCTCTAAATGTAAATTGTTACTCCAGGACTGGCCTGCGTCAACACCTGAACTAAGGATAGGGAGTGAAGTAGTCGAACGCGTGGACAACTTCACTTATCTTGGAAGTCTGATCAGCTCTAATAGTTTGGTGTCTGACGAAATTTCTGCATGGGTTCAAAAAGTCCATTCGGCTTTTGCCAACTTACGTCACCTATGGCGAAGACGAGATATCCGTCTATCAAGTAAGGGACAAGTATGCTGTGCGGTAGTTCATTCTGTTTTACTTTACGGCTGTGAATCGTGGCCATTAAGAGTAGAAGATACTCGTAAGTCACTAGTATTTGACCACAAATGTCTTAGAAATATTGCTCGCATCTGCTGGGATCACCGTGTAAGTAATAATAAGGCTAGATGCAGGGTATTATGGAATGATGGCAAATCAACTGATTAGGTTGTAAATCTTCATCGACTTAAGATGGTTGGACCAGGTGTTACGTATGCCTGAACACCGATTATTACGATGCGCAATTCTCATTAGTGTTGGAGACGGATGGAAGTTGGGGGTGGTCAAGCCAAAACGTGGCATCACTCCATAAAATCACTAACTTCTAGTTCGTATCATGTTGGTAGAAGACTACTACTTGATTGGGGTCTGCACGATCTTCGTAACCAGTGGAGTCTCTGTGTAACATGCCTCAGAATCGATCACAATGGCTTAGGTGTATACCTTTTTGTCTTATCTTAAATCGTGAGATTAAAATTACTATATACCTTTCTTTCTAAGAAATAATTCTTTCTCCCTGTATCATATCCCCATTGAAGTAACTGCTTCTGTGAATTAGGTGTCCATCTTGTTGTGCTAATGAGGTGTGATAACTTGGACCGATGCGTAGATGTGCCTGGTCCTACGTTGTAGATAACTGATTAACTGACTTATATTCTACAAATTAAATCCTGCATTTGCGGTTATTGATCATCGACTGAATAAATTTGTAAAGTCTTTTGACAGTGTTTTGTTCACCAAGCTAGATAATGTAATGTCAGAGTACTCATTATCGTTCTGGGCAACATCACCAACTTCTATTTCTCCATAATACTTAGTATGTTATAAGTGTGACAAAGCTCAACCATTTAACGTAAAGATGCAGTTACTATACCCGAAACTTGAAACGATATGCTACCTGATCCCCCCTAGGTCAGTGTTTCAGTCTGTGATATATGACGACTGATGAACAATATTTCTGATCCATTTAGCCTTCAGGAAGAAGTAATTAAAAGCTAAATCGCTATGTAAAATCAGTTCATAAAGTCAATGTGACTGTTTGTCTGTGTCATGTTGTTAAGTGCAGACTATGTGATATTAGTCAACGCGATAATTGAGATTCGTTGTTGGAAGCTTTCAGTTAGTATCACTAAAAATTAACCATAATGTTACGAATAGGTTCTTTCCGTAAATCTTGAATCTTGAAATTATCTTAGACGTTTCTACTCCCCGAATTCATTCATCGATCTTGAATTATGTTGCCTAAAGCTAACGCTACTGCATCTACCGTAGGATCTATCTTGTTAATTGCATCTCGTTGTATAGATATAAGTTGCCAAATTGAACCGATATACATATATGTCCCAGGTTCTACTTTGTTTATGATTACCTGACTGAAGTGGATTATTCTAATTTATTCAAGAAATGTATTCCTTACTTACTTACTTTCGCCTGTTACTCCCAATGGAGCATAGGCCGCCGACCAGCTTTTTCCAACCCACTCTGTCCTGGGCTTCCTTTTCTAGTTCTACCCAGTTCTTGTTCATTATTCTCATGTCTGTCTCAATTTCTCGGCGTAATGTGTTCTTTGGTCTCCCTCTTCTCCTTTGACCTTCAGGATTCCATGTGAGGGCTTGTCTTGTGACGCAATCAGGTGATTTCCTCAATGTGTGTCCTATCCACTTCCAGCGCCTCTTCCTGATTTCTTCCTCCGCTGGATGGAATCTAGTTTGCTGTCTCCCACAGTAGTTTGTTGTTGATAGTGTCTGGCCATCGGATACGAAGTATCTTGCGTAGACAGCTGTTGATAAACACTTGTATCTTCTGGATAATGGCTTTCGTAGTTCTCCACGTCTCCGCTCCATACAGAAGAACTGTCTTCACATTTGTATTGAAAATTCTAACCTTGGTGTTGGTTGACAATTGTTTTGAGCTCCAGATGTTTTTCAGTTGTAAGTATGCTGCTCTTGCTTTGCCGATTCACGCCCTCACATCTGCATCAGATCCACCGTGTTCATTAATGATGCTGCCCAGATATTTAAAGGTTTCCACATCCTCCAAAGCTTCTCCGTCAAGTGTAATTGGATTGGTGCATATTGTATTGTATCGAAGAGTCTTGCTTTTCCCTTTGTTTATATTGAGACCTACTGTTGCTGAGGCTGCTGCTACACTGGTCGTTTTCTCCTGCATTTGTTGTTGCGTGTGTGATAGAAGATCCAGATCATCCGCGAAGTCTAAATCGTCAAGCTGCATCCTGCCTGTCCACTGTATCCCGTGCATTCCTCCAGAAGTTGACGTCTTCGTAATCCAGTCGATCACCAGGAGAAAGAGAAAGGATGAGAGTAAGCAACCTTCCCTAACACCGGTCTTTACTTCGAACGAGTCGGTGAGTTGTCCTCCGTGGACGATTTGGCAGTTTAGTCCATCATAGAAGTTCCGTATGATATTGACTATCTTCTCAGGCACGCCGTGGTGTCGAAGAAGCTTCCATAGTGTCGTCCTGTCCACGCTATCAAATGCCTTCTCGTAGTCGAAGAAGTTGATGTAGAGTGATGAATTCTATTCGATTGATTGTTCCACAATGATACTTAGAGTTGCGATTTGGTCTGTGCACGATCTATCCTTACGAAATCCAGCTTGTTGATCTCGAAGTTGTGCGTCCACGGAATCCTTCATCCTGTTTAACAATACTCGGTTGAAGACTTTTCCTGGTATTGAGAGGAGAGTGACGCCCCTGTAGTTGTTGCACTTGCTGAGATCGCCTTTCTTTGGTATCTTGATGAGAAGTCCTTCTTTCCAGTCTGTTGGTACTTGTTCTTCGTCCCAAATCTTACTGAAAAGGATGTGCAGTATTTTGGCAGTTGCTGCTACATTTTCCTTCAGTGCCTCTGCCGGGATGTTGTCTGGTCCCGCTGCTTTGCCACTCTTGATTTGTCTAATGGCCATGCTGATCTCTTCAATTGTTGGTGGGCCAATATCGATTGGGAGGTCTGTGGGTGCTGCTTCGATGTTGGGTGGGTTCAGTGGAGCTGGTCGATTCAAGAGTTCTTTAAAGTGTTCTACCCACCTGTTTCGTTGTTCTTCAATATCGGTGATTACTTCGGCTTCCTTGCTTTTCACTGGTCTTTCTGGCTTACGGTAATTTCCAGCAAGTTTCTTTGTTGTATCATACAGTTGTCTCATGTTTCCCTCTCTTGCAACCTTTTCCGCTGTCATCGCTAAATCTTCCACATATTTACGTTTGTCGGTTCTGATGCTCCTCTTCACTTGCTTGTTTGCCTCTGTGTATTCGGCTTGTGCCTTGGCTTTTTCCGCTCTTGTTCGGCTGATATTGATTGCTGCCTTCTTGTTCCTCCTTGCTTCAATCTTATCCAGTGTACCAACAGTGATCCATTCCTTGTGATGGTGCTTCTTTTGGCCCAGAACCTCCTGACATGTTGAAACGATTGCCTCCTTGATACCTTTCCAGTTGCTCTCCATGGTAGTCCCCTCTCCATTGAGTAGATCATGAAAGGCCTCGAACCTGTTGCTGAGGCCTATGTTGAATTCGTTGAGTTTGTCAGCATCTCGAAGAAAGGCCGTGTTAAACTTTTGTGATGTTGTCCGCGCCGTTGTCCAGTGCTTCTTGAGTTTTAGTTTCATCTTGGCAACCAGCAAATGATGATCGAATGATATATCAGCTCCTCTTTTGGTTCTCACATCCTCCATCGTCCTGCTGAACTTTTTGTTGATGCAGATATGGTCGATTTGATTCTGTGTAGTGTGATCCGGTGAAATCCAAGTGGCTTTGTGTATGTTTTTGTGTGGGAATATGGTGCCACCTATGACCAGTTTATTGAAGGCATATATGTTTGCAAATCTCTCACCATTTTCATTCCTTTCTCCCAGTCCATGTTGTCCCATGACGTCTTCGTATCCAGTGTTGTCCTTTCCAACCTTGGCATTGAAATCTCCTATCAGAATGGTCAGGTCCTTGGTTGGGCACTTCTCGAAGATTGATTGCAGCCTATCGTAGAATTGGTTTTTAGCGTCTTCATAGTAGTCGTTGGTCGGCGCATCGCATTGGATGATGTTCATTGTAATGCCCTCTCTCTTTGTTTTGAAGGAGGCTTTGATGATCCTCGGTCCATGAGATTACCATCCTATAAGTTCATTTTGTGCTTTTCTAGACAGCATCAATGCAACTCCTTGTGTATGTGGGGCATTTTCTTCTTCATGACCGGAGTATAACAGAAGTTCCCCTGAAGCTAGTCGTTGTTGTCCAACCTGTGTCCAATGTGTTTCACTGATTCCAAGCACTTCCAAGTTGTATTTCCTCATTTCCGCAGCAATTTAGAAGACTCTCCCGGTCTCCCACATTGTCCGGACCTTCCATGTACCTACAAAAATTGTCGCTCTGGTTGTGAGAAGGTGCATCGGCCTCATGACTTCCGAAGGAACTCGGCTTTCATCATGAGACGTCATAATTATTCCTTCTACTCCCAGGGCAGAGTTTGAAAGGTTTGAATGATTTTTTCTGGTTAGCGTTTTTTAGAGAGTTGATTTTCTACGGGATGGGGTGGCTAACCCCATGCCCAACCCTCCTCCTTTACCCGGGCTTGGGATCGGCAGTAGCCCCTGGAGGAGCTACAGGCGGAGTTAAGAAATGTATTAGAGTTATATATATATTGTGATACATAAATTGTAACACTTAACTTGTATAATAGTAAGTATAGTAAAAGCTCTGTAGATTATGTCGTCTGATGTACAGTTTTTTCTGTATTAAAGCACCACTATCGTATATAATATTCTCCATAGTACCCTACTACATATGATCATTTGTGCTGGGTACATTTTCTAATGTCCTTCATCAATATATCCCTTTACTTTTTTTCTCATTCACGATAAATTATTGTATGACTATGTGTTTTTATTTATTCTTTCAAATAATAACATATCCTCCCTCCCACCGTATCGCAGACTTCAAGCACTTCAATCTGATAAATCACCACGTTGTTGGGTATTTCGTGCATGGGGTCGTATTGGTACATCAATTGGTGGCACTAAAACTGAATCGTTTCCTAATGCCAATTCAGCTCGTTCAACATTCAAAGAGATTTATTTTGAAAAAACTGGCAATGAATGGGAAAGTCGTAAAAACTTTCGTAAAGTGCCACATAAATTCTATGAATTAGAATTAGATTATAATTCTGTAAGTGAACTGTTATATTTTCTTTTTTTCGTTTGATTACTGGATGCAAATTAAAGATATTGGCTTATAGGGTTGATCAAAAGTGTGGTACCATTGTCACTATTGACAGTGAGTGATCGTTTCACTATTTTGAGAATTGATTGCAGATGAGACTGTACTACTGGGTACCGACTCAATAGTTCTTACGGGTAAATGTTTGCCGCCCAACTTGAATTTTTTTGCTTTCTATTCCTGACGCGGTTGTGGTAACACACTGTTGGGAGTAGTCTCACTCTAAAGTCGAATGGTTTTCCGTAGTTCTTAGTGGTACCTTAACCGAGTTCGACCTGTGATGAATACAAACTACAAATTAAACCAATCACCAAGAAAACCACCTTAATCGAAAACAGTTGTTTTCTTTAAAAAAGAATAAGGATTATAAAAAAACAATTGGTTCATGGAGCTTTAGTCACTCTACGAACTCAGTGGCTCAACAAAATGTATTCTAATTACTTCGTGAAATGGAACGGCTCAAGTATAGATCAATATTCTAAGTTATTGGTCAATGAGATAGAGATTTTTCAACTCCAGATTTGATATTCATACAGTTATGTGGTTGGATCAACCCAGTTAGACAATCTATTTTGTTGATGAACTAATTAGCCCATCTCATTTAATCAATATTGTCGATCTCAGTTTTAGGTTGTTTAGAAATGTAGCGGATAAAGAGCAACGTATTTGTCCTAAATATGAGTTGTTTACAGTCACAGACCATACTGTATTTTCTAATATATTGTTGGTCAATAAGGTTTTAAAGGTTAAAATCGTATTTGTTTACGATTAGCGTAAATCTGTCTCAATGATCGTATTAAGATCTGCTTAATTATATCACCTCGTAAACCTGAAAGTTTTGAGTTTGATCCAGTGTGAGAATGTGAATACACACTATTGAAGAGTTGAAAACCTCTTTCCTCTTATATTTGTAAAATAGTGGCTTGATTAGTAATTCAAGAATTTGGCTACTAACCATTCAGTTGTAGATTCAAGTTTATTTCAGATAGTCACGAGTGGGGGGCATATTTGAAACAAGAGTGTTAACTTTTAATTGTCTTATCTCTGATCTTCATGTTGACGTCATAATTCAGTATTCAACAGACGTTGGATTACGTAGAGTTACCATTTCTGTGTGGTTGTGTGCTACCAGTTAGAAGGCTAGTTAATGATAAAACAAAGTCATGTTGCTCTCTAGTGTACATTGTCTGAATCCATTCAGTATAAGATGATATTGTCTTTACTCACAGGAAACCGTACAATACATCGATATTCTCATTGATTACTCAATAGATTCTAGTAACATCTGTTACCACTTCAGTGGCGTATACATATTTTACTCGCGTATATCATCAGTCTAATTGCACCAATATTCCCGAGATCTATGTGTTTAAAATGCTGTCCAACAAAAAAAGTACGGAATTATAACTAAAGGTAGAATGTTAAGTTAGGATGAGTCAGTATTAATTCCTTTGATTTAAGCAATAAGTTTTCAGTAATATAAGATAGAACCTTATGAAAACATCACTTCCAATCTTTTCCAAATTGAGTGACTTTGATCCTTATCCCTATCATTACAAAGCATGTGTATCTGAAGCTTTCTATGAAAAGAAGTATTTCTTCTTAAACCTAGGTCAACACATTTGTTACGTGTATCACAATTTGGTTGAACTATTGAATCCTTACTTGATTCTATCGGTTCAAGAAAAACAATCTTTTATTTCTAACGCTTTTATAATTGGTTGGTAAAAGTATAGAATAGTGACAGGCTAGTGAGGATCAAGAATGCGACTTTTAGGTTTCTACGTAAAATTGAAATATCAGGGATAACAAGGAGTAAAAATGCTATCATTAAACTGCTCAAAATATTTGTAATTATTTATTTATTTTATTTATTTAATCACATACATATTGGTACAAAGGGCACCAGATACATATGCGCCACACAAAATAATGAGAATAGAAGGAGAAAGGGGTAAGATGCGTATATGTAAAAGAAGGAAAAAAAGAGAAGAGCAATGATGGGGGGAACTAAAATGTACAACCAGAAGAACTCTCTCAGTTAAGAAAGTTATAACCACTCTTTACGAAGAAAGTAAAAGAAGGTTACAAGAGGATCACCACTGGATTCTATTCTGAGCCATATCTGATAACGTCTCTAGCCACTGTGTTGCACCATCTCTCGGACCCCATCCAGGGAGTCGTGAAGGACCAACAAAAGCCAGCCCTTTGCAGCTTTCTTTCATACCACGAAACGATGTCGTACACTGACCATCTCTCCGCTTTTTCCAACCAGTCCCAGAGTCGGCAAATAATGCACGACGTGGAATTCTCTGGGACGACATTCGTAAAACATGTCCATAGCGATAAACTAAATTTTGCCACTATTCAGTAAAATGATAGCGTTAAACCTATCAAATGTTCAAGTGTTTCCTTGTAGGTTGTATATCTTAGAAAAGTTGGTATTACACTTGAATGCTAATCCCAAATATTAAATCGTGCAACAACTCTTAACTTAGTCGTACTCTTTTTTTCGGGAAGAACTAATCGGACAAAGTTTTATGAGTCTATGCATGTAATTTATTCATCCAAAGCAATTTCTCATTGTAGTTGATATCAATTCCTTTGAAAACCCACACCTTAAACCCCTTAGCCCCTGTCCTGAATACTTGACCCTGAGTAGGAACAATGTTAGGGGACTTCTTTCAGATCACTGAATAATTTACCATTCTTATGACAATAAACATCTTATTAATGTAGGGGGATTTGTAAAGACTGTAGAATTTTTAAAGTTTTAAGTCGTTAACTGATCTTGGCTAGATCACCATTGATAACCTGGAATCACTGAACTGGATGGTCGTTTATGTGGTCGTGTATGCACACTGCTGGAGAGTCCGATTTATCGCTGACCATCGCAAAAACAATAAGATTCAACAAAACTGTGATTACACAAATCCAGTTCATTGACGAACCTATTATTGATGATGATAAAAGTTGAATGTGTTTGTAATTTGTGTTCTATAAAGAAGTTATGCTATGGTTTCATCTATGTTACCTACGTTGATGTAAATCTTATCATACACTTTTAATCCATGTGTTTTCATTTTACAGTCGAAGACGAATGAAATTCAAACTATCAGTAATATACCATGTAAACTACACCCAGCTTTACAATCACTCCTAAAATTTATTTGTGATGTTAAATCTATGGAAAAAACAATGGCGGAATTTGAAGTAAGTTAATTTTTGTTGAAGAGAGGAAGGTGACCTATTTCTTCATTGTTCTTTCCCTGTACCCACCAGTTTTGTCTTAGGTCGCTAATTTATATTACGTACTAAAATCGTCAATCAGAATTTCCTCTATCTCTCGCCTACTGTTCCGTTTACAACCTAGTGTCGTAGACTTAGACTTGACAAATTATACTTGCTGGTCTGTACAGTTAACACTGAGCTGATACAAGCTAAGCTTCTATTGGTCTGCTATCCACATTCTTCTCCATCCTCTGCCTAGAGTTTGAGAAGTAGTCAGGGGCCACCTAATATTATATCATATTTTAAGCACACGTGGGTTTATATGCAAATATAAACTAGACCACATCACACTATAAATTACTAAATTACAATGAGCATAAACAAACCAAAAGTGGTAATGAGCAACAACGTTTCATGGGTTAAACGAAAGCTTATGACCTTTGAAGTCCTATCCCAAACAGATTGGTTGTCAGGTTTGAGGACGAAGTCGTATTGTAGTCTATACTAGGGTGTACTGACAACTGAGTGTTTTCCACGAACAATCAACATTTCCGCTCATGTTACTTTCCCGAAGACGGAACAGTTGGATTGAAAGCCGTCCGTGAAAATACCACACACTTTCTAACATGTCACTGATTTTCAGTATCTGTTATAAGGTTTGAAAAGTAAAGACCCAACACTACAAAAGCCCCTCTCAAAAGATCGTCTGTTAAAACTAAGCTTCATGGAAAAAGAAAATTAATCCAGTTCGCCAAATCTCTTATTCCATCCATCGATGTTAGTGTTTAATAGCTATTTGGTGGGGGGGGCAATATCAATCTTCTGCATTTATGGAGTTAACAACTAAATATACTGACTCAGTACAATACCGACAAGAAATGTACAACAGACTATTACGTTAGATTTGCTGCAAATGTATAAAGTCAACCCAGTTTATCATACTTCACATTATTGGCACAGTGATAAGAAACTAACTGAAGAGTCTAATAGAAGCTTAAAATATCGATAACAAAAGTTATTATTTATTATTTGAACACATAAATATTGGTACAAAGGGGCACCGAATGCATATGCGCCACACAAATCTCATTCGATTTGTGTGAGGGCTGTGATACTGCCCAGGTGCTCAAACTGAAACAGGTGGTTTTCTTAGGGGGCCACACCTCGAGCCTTTGACCTAAAGGTCTGATCCACAAGGCAGTGGAGCATCGTGAGGTGATGCAGTCCCATGGTAGCCGGTGATCAACGATTGATTCATACGCCATTTGTTCCATTAGGATACTGGAGCCAGCCCATTTGCACCATTGGTTTGGAATCAGGGTTTTCCAACTCCCCTAGGTGGACTTTCCCTGTCGACCAACCCGGTTAAAGCGCCGGACATTCGCTTTTCATCTTCTCAATTTCGTAAACAACAGTAATGCCACGAGAAAGCCGTGAGTAGGACTTCCCTGACAGAGATTATATACGCGTGGCCATGTGAAAGCATTTGGAGAGGGAGAGCGGACTCTCCACTCTCGGCCGTACCCGGGCATTCGGGGGCGATAACAAAAGTATGTCTCGTATATTCCCTCATATTGTCATCTCAGATTGGAACCCACTGGTACCTAATAATTAAAAGTTTAAAGATCTTACCACAATTTATTCACTGCTTTAAAACCTCAGGGTGGTGGTCTGGTCACATTAGTTTAGTGGAACTCGTCGACGATATTCAATCTTATTCAGAAGAGAACTTTCAAGTCTTTTAAAAAGTCTATTTTGTTTAAATTATCTTATTTTCAATATTTCACCTTCTCATAAATATTTCTTGTTTTCTTCCCAATCCATGTGTTTTTTTAGCTTGATCTAAGAAAAATGCCTTTAGGTAAACTGTCTAGTAATCAAATTCATGAAGCTTATGATGTATTAAATTCTCTTAGTCAACTTATTACTTCACGTCCTACTAAACAACAATCTCAATCATTGGATCGTACACAAATACTAAGTGAATCTACACGTTTCTATACATTGATTCCGCATGATTTCGGTTTCAAAACACCACCAATGTTAGATAATAAGAAAATTATTACCAAGAAAATACGTATGTTAGAAGATTTGTTAGAAATTGAATTAGCTTATAAAATGCTACAAACTAAAGGTGATTCTAAACGTAATCCATTGGATGAGCATTATGAACAGTTACATACTAAATTAGAGGTAAGATGAAACAGTGTTATCCGGATTCTTTTGTTTATTCTACTTGCGTGATCGTGTCATTTAATTATTGACTTAACTAATCGCTTTATTTCTGTTTATCTAACCAACAACTCACTCTTTGACCATTTTTTATTAACATAATGACTAGAAATCTTAATCTAGATTGGTCCAATCAAGACATGAGGATAGCAACGATATACTCTGTAACTGGGACCAATATGTGGCAGGTACCATCTACGGAACTGCACGAAATCCAGTGTATGTTCGAAATCAGATTTACGGTAGTTGTATTCACTACAACTCAGAATAATCAGTCCATCTTAGAGTTTATATTCAATGATAACTTTATGTTTGTACTGATGAATAGGTCCTTTTAAATTTAAACCTATCATTTTACTGGAAAATAGATTAATGTTGTCATACTGAATTCAGTGTAATGATTAATAAGGTTCAGTCAGTCAGCTACAACGTAGCACCAGGCACACATATGCATCGGTCCAAGTTGCCATACCTCGTTATCAGAACAAGATGAACACCGGATTCATAGAAATAGTTAATTTAGTGGTGGAAGTATATAAAAGATAGGTTGCATATAAGGATATAGTATAGGAAGGAAGAACGTTATGACGCAATTTTAATTTTAAGGTTTAAGGGAAGATAGAGAGTGTATACACCTACGCCATTGTGGATTAATAAGGTTACAATTTATGTAACTCTGTTATCTGTCTAATGACTGACTGAGATAAGTATAAGGTAATGTTGGCATATGTTTAAGAAACACATAGACCATAACTACTAATGAATACTTTAATACACACAAATTAGAAAGTTTTAGATCGCTCTACTTTTTCAGATTCACTGATGGTCATCCCTTAATTAAAAAAACTGTTCAGCATTCAGTCCCAAGGGGATTTCACAGCGCAACTGACTTACAAATAGGAGTCAATCAGAGGGACAAGCAAAGGTCACATGGTCCATATATCAAAATATTGTGTCTATCGTGTGTAGGTGATTAGTTTAACTTCTGAAAACGACATTAAATATTAATTAAGTTAACGTTAAAAGTGGTCCAAAAATATCCAAAGAACACTAGGCAATAGATAAAACTGTGTGGAATATGCTAAGAATTAACATCATACGAGTTAGATTAACCAATTTTACTAATTCTGAATGTTCAACATTGTTGGGGAGATCCGAAAATTCGTCGAAAAAACCAAAAGGGGCTCTGAAAACGCTGAGAAACATCTTATCCACTCAACATTCGATATATGTTTTACCAACAACATCTAGAAAGTGGAAAGTCACATGTCACTTTTCTGGTTGGATGGTTACCCATACTTCTACTATGTTTATTAGTGTCCCAGTACTTTCCCGAGGCTCAAGGTCATCTAGATTTTCTGTACATGAACGAACCCTAGAGTAAAGCGTCTCTTCTACATTCCGCGCCTTTTCTTTCGTGTCCAATTTGCTGTGTAGATTAGCTTTACCATCCTGCTACTTACAAACTTAGGGTTAAGATTTATAAGGAGAGTTAGAAAAGGAGAGTAGAACTTAGTTTCATTTTAAACTCCTGATTACGCATCAGATCACTTTAAATACTTTAACACGTAATCTACCTTAAATGCAGAGCTTGAGCACCGTCCTAAATTCGCACTCGGGTTGCGTAATAAATGTTCTTATTTGTTTCTAACATTCTAAAAATCAATAATGGTCAATTTTCATCTAGTTAATGCTAATACACAAGTTACCTATCACTTCACTCAAAATTTCACGCAAAATCCGTGAGAAGTTATCGTGATTCTGTTTGGTTAACTCAGGGGCGTCAGTATATTATACTTTTGCTCTTTTAAATTACGTAGACTAAAAATGTTTGATTAGAGACGAGTTCTTCATCTAAAGTTAGATTTTGAGTATATGTGGATAATTTCCCACAACAATGATCCTGTTCACAAATTCATTCACTTATGATGTAATTCAGAAACAAGCACTCTTTTACTGAACACTCGATAAAATCGTACAATGGACATTATATAGTCACTCAATAATCAAGTTGGTACAACTAAACACTAACTTCGGTCAATAGAATTAATGCAGATGACGTAACCTACTGGACCCAGCTGTCCAATAACTGTTCAAGGAACCAAATTCAATCAAGCATAAGGTTGAAGACAGTCATTAAATGGAGCATAAGCAAGAAATCAGCTTCATACATAAAATAGTTTCTTATATAATTACTACGACTAGATATATCTATCCTCGCTCATTAATCGACCAATCATTGATATAGAATAAATGTAATGTGGCTAGCAGGTGGACGCGCGTTCTGTCCTATTTGGAATGCATCTGCATCCTGTAGTTGATGTTCACTTTGGGATTTAAACTCAGTACCGTTTGTTTCAATCAGTGATTGATCACTTTTCACCGTGCACACACCAATTGTATCAATCTGTTAAGTTTTATAAGCGACCAGATAAAATTTATTCTTGATTATAGTGATTTTTCTCTCAATACATAATTGAGTGTATATGTTTCTTTATTTCTATGTGTAAACCAACACAGCCTTTAGATAGTAATTGTGAAGATTATAAATTGATTTTGGATTATGTACGCGAAACTCATGGCGCTACACATACACAATATACACTTGAAGTATTAAATATCTTTGAAGTACATCGTGATGGAGAGGATAGTCGTTTTGCTAAGTGTAAAATTGCTCAACATAATAAACAGCTGTTATGGCATGGTTCACGTCAAACTAATTGGATGGGTATATTGTAAGCTTCTTTTTTCCCTGTTTTTTCAAAAGATTTTTTTGATTTTCTAATCTCAGCTATAAAACTATTGAGTCCTTCATTTATTCTGTTTAGTTTTTATTTTCAGAAGAGGTTTTTGTGGAGATTTAGTATTTTCATAATTGGAAGCATGAGTCAATTGAAGCTAGACCACCAGGGTAAACTTGGAGGCACTGTACGGCCGTTTCGTTTTATTGTGGGACTGGTAGGTCCTGGGTTCGAGGTCGTGGATGCGCATTGCTGAGGAGTCCCACAATAGGACGAAACGACCGTCCAGTGCTTCCAGGTTTCCCCTGGTGGTCTAGTTTTTGTATGCCGAAATAGTTTATAAATTTTTTTATATTTTATTTAAACACATAAATATTGGTACAAGGAAGCACCAGATACATATGCGCCATACAAATCTCATCCGATTTGCTTGAGGGCTGTGATACTGCCCAGGTGCCCAAACTGAAGCACGTGGTTTTCTTAGGGGACCACACCCCGAGCCTTTGACCTAAAGGTCTGATCCACAAGGCAGTGGAGCATCGTGAGGTGATGCAGTCCCATGGTAGCCGTTGACCAACAACATGTTCATTCGCTATTCGTTCCATTAGGATACTGGAGCCAGCCCATTTGCACCATTGGTTTGGAATCAGGGTTTTCCAACTCCCCTAGGTGGACTTTCCCTGTCGACCAACCCGGTTAAAGCGCCGGACATTCGCTTTTCATCTTCTCAATTTCGTAAACAACAGTAATGCCACGAGAAGGCAGTGAGTAGGACTTCACTGGCAGAGGCTATATATTCGCTGGCCATGTGAGAGCATTTCGAGAGGGAGAGGTGACTCTCCCCACTCTCGGCCATACCAGGGCATTTGGGGGCTTTGGATTTTCAGCTATCATTCATAATATGGTACCTGTCAAATATGTGCGCTAATCCCAACTCCTGCAACTTGTACTACAGGGAGATGAAATTAATAAGTTGAGTAGCAAAAGAGATCAAACTAAATTTTTTATGTCACTGTCAATTATCACGTGAAGGAATTGCCAATCAGAATATCGACTTCTGTGACCTTGTCCTTGTGCTAAACCAATGACATGTCAGCTTTGAATCGGCTCTGAATCTTCTTTGGTCCGCTGTATAGTAGCTTCTCTTTTAGCCCTGTCCATCGATTCCAAAACACAATCTCACCCTCCACTGTATAAATAATATATTTCAGACATACGTAATTTATGTATATGCAGACCGGACCGCAGCACACCATGAAATGAAAAATAATAATCATACAAGACCAAGCCAAAAATGACTGTTAGTAGGGGAGGTTGTAGCTAATAAATTAATAATAGTAAATCGTTTAGTAGTAGCTAAGAGGTCAAATGAAAGTTTTTGATAAAAGAGGTATAAATATATGGTCTAGATACTTAGAGTTACGCAATAAGAATACATGTATACTTTCAGTCTATAAATAATTCCCGGTGTTTACCAATGATTTGTTCTTTGGATACAACAAAACTATAGTAGCGATAATAATAAGATGGATTTAGCATCGAGCCCTCAAATACCCTGGCATAGCTAAGAGTGAGGAGAGGTCTCTTCGAAATTCTCTCGTGTAACCATGCGTATATAGCCAGGATGCTATTTACGAATTTAAGAGGACAAGAATGGGGTTTAATATTGATCGATCACTCGGTCGATAGAATTCGATCTGCACTGAGGAGGACCTGATACACTTGACATTAATCACTACCTAATGATCACTCCATGGTAGATGCATTTCAATCCTACTGGAGGTCAGTCGCGGCCCGGATAACTAGGTGGTAACGTTTCTGACTGTGAAGCTGGGTGACATGGGATCAATTCCGTCAAGATTACAGGTACACGTTGATGACGAGTGTCAAACAGCACGAAACCTAGATTCAAGGTTTCCTGTCGACTACCCCCAACCACCACCTCACGAAAATCAAATATCAGTCGCTTAAGCCACGTTGCTGGGTACGGAGTATCCACCTAAAGGAGTTGAGAAACTGATTACGAACCATTGGTGCACATTGTTTTCACGATCCTGGAGAAACAAATGGCGTATGAACCTATTATCTGGTCACTGGCTGTTGTGGGACCACATCTCCACTTTGTGCACTAGACCTCTAGTTCCAAAGGCTTGTGGACTAGCCCCGCAAATTTTTCCAACGCTACGTAATTCGGTTTGCACAACTTAACTTCCATACCCACTTGAGTAGACTAATTTTTCATTTTGCACTTTCACCGGTTTCTATGTTCACACTATTTGTGTTTTCGCTTGATGTTCAGATCTCAAGGTTTACGAATTGCACCCCCTGACGCTCCAGTTACTGGTTACATGTTTGGCAAAGGTATTTATTTTGCTGATATTGTCAGTAAATCAGCTAATTACTGTTTTACAACACAATCTCAACCGGAAGGTCTCTTACTATTATGTGAAGTTATCCTAGGTGATATGAATGAATGTTTACAAGCGGATGCGAGTGACTTACCGCCAAAGTATCATAGTCGTAAAGGTAAGCAATCCAATACTTTATCTTTTATTTTTCTTTCGATTTTGTTCTCTGATATTGTCAGACTAAGTGGAATAAATCACTCATTCAAGTTCGCTGACTTCACTGATGACACTCTCAAATCACATTAGATGGGGAAACTCTGGAAAAGGTGGAAACTTTCATATACCTGGACAGCATCATCAATGAATAAGGAAGATCTAATGCAGACGTCAAGGCGAGGATTAACAAAGCAACAAGACCATTCCTACAGTTAAAGAACATACGGAACTCAAAACAAATGTCAACCAATATCAAATTAACAATCTTCAATACAAACGTCAAGACAGTTCTACTGTACTGAGGTAAAACTTTGAGAACGACTGCAACCATCATTAGCAAAGTACATTTATTTATAAACAAATGTCCACACAGTATATTCAATATCCGTTTTCCGGATACTTGTAGAAGAGAACAAACCAGCTTTCAGTTGAAGAGGAAATTAGGAAAAGATGATGCAAATGGATATGACATACATTGTGGAAGTCACCAAACTGCACCACGAGGCAAGTGCTAACTTGGGATCCTGAAGACAAAAGAACACATTGCGTTGAGAATCAGAAGTAGATATACAAAGGATGAATAGTACTTGACCGCTGGAAGGAATCACCGTGGAAAGAATTCGATTGAGAATTTTGTTCAGCACCTTACAGTCTATGAAGGGTAACAGGCGTAAGCAAGTGATAATGAGTAACTGATAACATTCACAGTCTACCTTCATGCGACTACTGATTCATCAGATTTACCAAGACCGAATCAAACCGGAAGGACTCTCTTGAATCTTTTGAATATTTAGAATATGAATATGTACAAACGATTAACAGTTTTACAATCAATAAAAATTAGTTTTATTTCAGAAACAATCCCACATTCAAAGTGTCAAACTCAATTACTGCTGAGGTGTCCCACAATAGGACGAATCGGCCGTCCCAGGGCTTCCAGGTTTTCCATGGTGGTCTTGCTTCAGGAATAAGAATTGCTAGTTTGAAAATAATGTATCTATATTATCATAATTGAAAGCGTGAGTCGATTGAAGCTGGACCACCATAGAAAACCAGGAAGCACTGGATGACCGTTTCGTCCTATTGTGGGACTCCTCAGCAGTGCGCATCCACGAGACTGGTAGGTCCTGGGTTCGAATCTCTCGAGGCTGGATCGTGGATGCGCATTGTTGAGGAGTCCCACAACCGGACGAAACGGCCGTCAGATGTTTCCAGGTTTTCCATGGTGGTCTAGCTTCAATTGACTCATGATTTCAACTATTGAAATCAAGTTTTATCTTTTCTTTCTGTTGGCAGTTATATGTTGAAATGTTGTTGTATGGTACTAGTTGCCCTTATCAAAATTGGGCAAAATCTCGATTGACAGTTATATTAAAATACTCATTTCATATTACTAAATTACGATTTGGGTATCTGTTTTCGCTCTATAACCAATCGTGACTCTCTTTCATCTGTGTTATCTTTTTTTCATTCCCATCTATCTAGGCATTGGATCAGTTACACCGGATCCATCAACATTCCATACTAATAAAGATGGTGTTGTCTATCCAATCGGTAAACCGATTGATTCAAATGTACCAAATACCACATTATGTTATAATGAATACATTGTATACAATGTATCACAAGTCAAACAAAAATATTTAGTTCGAGTGAAATTTCATTACAAATGAACAACCAAACGAAACTAGTTCATTATTTCCAGCTAACATTGTCATTTCAATGACTCCATTTCTTGCATTAATCCTTTTGCTTATGATCTGTGTACGTGTGTGTGTGTGTGAGTGGGTGTTTATTGATTAAAATCTCGGTGCGTTTTATTATATATATATATAATTAATTTTACTTATTTTCCGGTGTTTGGATCATTTAGAGTATTCTTTTCATTTATCTTTTGTTGCATTTCATAGCAACAGTATTATCATTCTTATTTTCATTATTATTATTAATGATAAAGCTTCATACATATACATATATTTGTATCATTCATTTTAACTCCTGAGATCATTTCACAGAGTCAATAAATCAATCAAATATGTCCATATTTTGTTTCTTTTTTTTTATAAGCACTAGTGTTGACAGGAGAGTAGTTTTGTCGCTCAGTAGACTGATTTTAGTGCAGTTACATTCTGTTCTTTATCTGAGCTGGCGGGGTTGTTAAAATCATAATCTTTTGATACCCATTTGTAAAATTTACGCTCTCACTCTCGAAATGCTCTCACATAGCCACGCGTATATAGCCTCTGTCAAGGAAGTCCTACTCGCTGCCCTCTCGTGGAGGGGGTGTTGTTCACAAAAGTGAGAGGACGAAAAGCGAATGTCCGGCGCTTTAACCGGGTTGGTGGATGTGGAGGATCCACCTAGGGGAGTTGGAAAACCCTGATTCCAAACCAATGGTGCAAATGGGCTGGCTCCAGTATCCTGAAGGAACGAATGGCGTATGAACCAACTGTTGATCACCGGCTACCATGGGACTGCATCACCTCACGATGCTCCACTGCCTTGTGGATCAGATCTTTAGGTCAAAGGCTTTAGGTGTGGCCATCCTAAGAAAACCAACTGTTTCAGTTTGGGCACTTGGGCAGTATCACAGCCCTCACACAAATCAAATGAGATTTGTGAGGCGCATATTTATCTGGTGCTTTCTTGTGCCAATATTTATGTGTTTAAATAAATAATAAAAAGTAGAGAAAGTGTGGTTGTTAACTTGTGGAAAATAGCTTTTTCATGAAATTCTCCCATTTTCAAACAATAAGTAAAGTATGTTACACTCAAATAATGTTGAATTTGTGGAGAATAGCTTTTAGTTCAGTGGGATAATTTAAATAGAGTTGCGCTGTCTCAGATTAGTGGATAAAACTCTATCAAAAAGTAAAACGATCACGAGTGCTCTAGTGGGGAGAAGTAGTAGTGTAGTGAACAAGAACACGGGTGGGGACAATCGAATGTATTTAAGCACAAATTACAGACTATCTCACTAAATTCTGTTAACCATACAGTAAACAGTTAATTTACAAAATAACAATCAATTGTCTCAATCTTAACTGTTTCTTCTGCAAATATCAGTCCATCTCTGATTTCATTGTTCATGCATTTTTATACCGATTACGCTTCATTCCTGTTCTTTTCTTATCGATCTTCTGCAAAAATACATTCTATGTCTGACCATCGTTATATACTACTTATGTGGATATAAGTAGACCACACCACAGTAGAAGAAGAACATATGCTTATAGTTTGTCATTAATTCCTGTCTAATGATTCGCATATAATGTTGGTCAACTTGAATAAATTCGGAGAAAAAACGGGATCAGAAATGATGATTAGCAGTTATGAGTAAACTTTAATGATTTCACAGATAAAAGTTACTAAAGATGAAAAAGCGGAACTATTAAGTTCAGTAAATTTATTTTTCAAATTGTAATGAGAAAATATAATTTTATTTTCACATTTTCAAAGTGTAATACGACAATATTTTGATTCAATACACTAGATAGAAAGTGCATCATATTACACTTGAGTATACAATTCGCAGCTGATAGTTAATAGACTAGTGGCTATCAGGACTGAGTAGGTGGGTGGATAACGCGATGGTGTTTGAAGCGAAAGGTACCGGGTTCGAGTCCCAGAGTGAACATCAAGTCTGATATGCAGGTACATTCAGCTGATGAGTCTCAAATGGGACGAAACGCGTGTCCTGGATTCCACTGCTAGCCACTATCCATCTTTGCTTACAATGTTTGTGAATTAAGGCTATTTCGAGACAATACGCACATATGCCAATTCGAGGCTGACCAGTTGCAGTCCTAAACATCAATGGGAAGATTCAAACAAACAGTACTAAGTGAATTTAATAGACTAGATGGTTGCTTTTTTCCTTAGTACAACTTTTTCAGTGCACGCATAGAATATAGTTCATAGTGAAACCAGAGTAGAAATCATTCAAAAGGAATTATTCACAATATTTAGTAAAACTGAGCATTTATCTTTGTTCTCTGCACAAATCACAATCGTAATTGTATGGAGGACTATTGAGGGACGTCAACCTAACCTTTCAGAAATTCACCAACCTACTAGGGTGTGAAGATGGTTAACAATGAACATAAGGAATCAAAATCTAGAGTTTTTCATTGCTAACTGACATCAACTCCAATGCCGAAATGCTATTTAACCGTATGGATGAATGATTTTTGAGCCCAAATCCAATACTTGTTGTCCTGAGACTGATTGGTTCGTGCATAAATTATCGTCTGTTTGATACTATAAATGAAGTAATAAGCTCTTCATCATCATTACAACTAATCGAATTCAGAAAATGCTTGAAATACACAATCTTCGATAAAGTGACCCTAAGTACGATTACAGCAGTTTTGGTTTCGTATCATACATGGTTTGTTTCCAGACCCCCCCAAGCACGAACAACGTATCCTCTGTTATATCCGAACGAAGACTAAAGGCATAGTAACTCTCAGGAACAATTTAGGGATGAATTCACTTAGTATTGTTTGTTTGAATCTTCCCATTGATGTTTAGGACTGCAACTGGTCAGTCTCTTATTGGCACATGTGCATTTTGTGCGGACTGCCTCGATATTGCTTGAAGTCATAAGCTTTATAAGCAGAGATGGATAGTGGCTAGCAGTGGAATCCAGGACGCGCGTCTCGTTTTATTGCAGTCCTAAACATCGATGAGTGAATTTAAACTTCACCCCATTGCACAAGCAAGTTGCTATCAGGACTCAGTAGCTGAGTGAATAACGAGATGGCGTTTGAAGCGAAAGGGTACTGGGTTCGAGTCCCATAATGGACATCAACTCTGAGATGCAGGTACATCCAGCTGACGAATCCCAATTAGGAGGGAACGCTCGTCCTGGATTCCACCGCTAGCTACTGCCCATTTTTGCTTATAATTTAGGGTTGATTATTGAAATATATATTCTAATTTCATAATTGTTAAGTAACTAGATTATCTATATTCCTTTTATCATAAGCTCCCGATCAACCCATTAACTACTGTTGTATGGTCTGCTGTTCTTCATAAGTTACCGGTTTATTATCCACACTCTCCTACTCACAGACACTTTGATTTTGATCATGTCTAATTGTTATTTCTCATTTTATGATATGATCTGGTATGCCTGTGTATAGACTACGTCCTAATGGAATATAATATTCGTTCATTGGTTTTGGTTACTGACTAGAGAATCTTGGATGAATAAGAACTTGTCAGTTAGCTGGCGGTTAGTAGTTGTGGTTTTGTATGTGTCATTGATCAACTCATAGATACTAAGTCATATCAATTGGTATTCTGATTGTTGATTTTCTCATGTGTTTTTAGGTTATGGTCACGAGTCATAACAGCCTGGTATATGTGTGTGCATATCCATCTGAGTTGCTACACGGATAAATGAATGTTAAGGTACTAAGTATTATTGATGTTGAAAAAAACATCACGCATTAAGAATGTGATTAGAATGAATAGATTCCTAAAGTAAAAAGTAAATGATCTTTTTAAAATTCAAGATCTATGAGAAAACAAAAGACTAATGTATCTTTGTCATTGCGACCAATCCTTAGTTATGACTCTCGATGCTTTCCGATTGAAGCACAATAATCTCGCTGACACCCACTCTGCATCTACGGACATGATCAGATCCAACAGTTATTGACTTCGTGATAATAATGCCACATTTTCGTTTGTCTGCTTTCTGTCAACCTAATTCTACGTCAGTCAATTCGGTTCGTGGTAGTTGAGCATACAAATTCCTATCCTTACAATCTCAATTGATAAGGGTTCGTAATCCCATCAACTGATTTAACATCTTTCCCTTAAGTCCTCGCCTATTCACAACATTTATTTATTTATTTCAACACATAAATATTTGTTCAAAGGGGCACCAGATATATATGCACCACACAAATCTCATCCGATTTGCTTGAGGGCTGTGATACTGCCCAGGTGCCCAAACTGAAGCACGTGGTTTTCTTAGGGGACCACACCCCGAGCCTTTGACCTAAAGGTCTGATCCACAAGGCAGTGGAGCATCGTGAAGAGATGCAGTCCCATGGTAGCCGTTGACCAACAACATGTTCATTCGCCATTCGTTCCATTAGGATACTGGAGCCAGCCCATTTGCACCATTGGTTTGGAATGAGGGTTTTTTCAAATTCCTGGGTGGACTGTCCGTGTCCACCAACCCGGTTAATGCGCCGGAAATTTGTTTTTCGTCCTATCAATTTCGTAAACAACACCCGTGATGCGAGAAGGCAGTGAATATGACTTCCCTGGTAGAGTCTGTATACGCGTGGCCGTGTGAAAGCATTTTTACAGGGAGAGCGAACAAATCCCATTCCCGGCCGTACCAGGGCATTTGGGGCACTCACAACATTAGTCGGTGATCTTAACATACGAATGAAGCACTCACAGATTTTTACTCGACTGTATCATAGGAAGTACTTTATATAAATCAAATAAGTCCCACAGTTTTTAATGCAAGAAAAAAATCAAAATTATTCTTTTTTTTTCAAATAAGATCTGAATTTTCCTCTAATTTATTTTAATTCATGCTTTTTACATAAAGACTTTTTTTTCTTATTTGGCATAAAATGTTCTAAAAAGAGGTTTTTTATATATAAAAAAAAAGATAGATGGATTGATGGTAGAGTTTAATGAAGGTTTTCCGTTTTTACCAACATGGACATTAAGGTGTTCTGTTCAATATATATCGATCAAAGAAAAATCAATACTGTTTGTTCAATTGTTTGTTTGTTTTTGTTTTTCTAAAAATTTAATGAAATATCTTTTTTACAAAATAAAATAGTACTACTTATTATTATTATTATTATTAGTAGTAGTAGTACTATTGATCAATACTGTTGTTCTTCTTGTTCTCGTCTTTTACTCCTTCTTCTTCCTCTTTTGCTTTCACATACCAGTTTCTATTGTTTGTTATATTATCTATTAGAACTTGTAAACCTGGATGTAAGAGTTCAGCCATTGTCTCCCATAATGGATAAACTATATAGTCAATGAAACCAATCTGTGATAAAGAATGAGTGAATGAAAAAAAAAACTGGTGTGAGAAATTACGATTAGTAGTTAGGTTAACATTTTCCTTACAAACTGACTAGCTGTAATATTAAAATGTTTCGGTATATGAATGAATGAAATGCCCGTCAAAATCTAGTGTTCATTATCTTAGATCTGATAGTTCTACCAGATTGTTGATTATTTACAAGCAAATAGTAGTTTCCATTAGGGGTTTGTGGAAATTGAAGGATTTCATTGAGATCATGAACCAATCTATGTTAGACCATTATTCAAAACCTCAAAGTACTGGTTCATGAACTCAGTGGAATTCTTTTTTTATAGTTGAAATCATGAATCAATTGAAGCTAGACCACCATGGAAAACCTGAAAGCTCTAGACGGCCGTTTCGTCTCCTCAGCAGTGCGCATCCACGATCCCTTCTTGCGAGATTCTAACCCAGGACCTATCAGTCTCTCGCGCGAGCGCTAATCCACCAGACCACTGAGCTGGCATCCAACGGTGTTAATGTCTAACTTCAACCAACCCACAATGCTGAGCAACTGTCCACCATTATCTTCAGTAAGTTGATATCTCCCAACAGACCTGGTTGTACTCCACTGGTCAATGGAACTTAACAATCTCTACAACTGCTTACTGAAAGTAATCGTAAGCCCACTGGTGACTAGCTTCGAGAGGATATATCCGGAGTTCTAGTGCAAAGCCGTGACCAATCGAGCTATTCCGTGTCGGATGTGAGGCAGTTACCGAAGATGATGGAAGATGGTCGCGCAATATCCTAAAGTGATATTTTCATTTGTCTATGATGCATATATCCGTATCTTCATACAGGATGATTATATATAATTTCGATTTTCTGACTAAATTATTTGGAAAAATCGGAAAAAAAAACATCTGATCGGATTATGTGTTCGCTGGTCATTCTGGATAACATCTTCAACGCCTACTTTATATTGTCCAGTATGACTATGTAGGCTTCACAATTAAGCTATCTACCTTAATGAACTCAAATTTAAAACAATTAGTTCCTTTGATAAATCTCGATAATGCAATGAGAAGACGAAGTTTATCAGAATTATGTAATGAAATATTTGCACAATACATTTTGAACAGTCTGATCACACATATACTTACTTGTTAAGACATTTTTATATGAAAATTAAGAGGTCAACTAGACAGATTAAGGTAAGAAAATAAATAAAATACACAAAAAACAATGTGATGACTACTCTGGATAATAAATCTGAATTACTAGGGTGAGTTAAGGGTAAGAACAAATTGTTTTTGAACACATAGAGGGGGTTTCAATTTCCGAATAGCCAAGGCTTCAATAAACCTTAGTATACGTCCTTCAAGGCTTTTGTACAACACTAAAAACGCTGATTTGATGTTAACCTTATGACCAGTTCCAACCAAATGTTTCGCAATGGAGGAAGATGCCTGTCTATCCTGTTATCTTATTTGACCATTGGAATTCATTTGTTTCTGCAGCCATTTAGGTAAGTGAACTCACCATCTAACCACGTGAGCTGCAAATCATTCCCATCACTTCGATATCTGACTTCCAAAAAATCCTTTACAGATTATACTTTTCTCTCAGGATAATAAGTTGTAGTATCTTGTACCATGTCAAGCGCACATGGAGTATTCTAGCTTCTGGACAGACTGATCTATTCATTCTTCTTGAGCCACATTTTGACTTTGTCAATTATTCTCTCACTATTCTTGACAGTTTTCATATCAGCGTATTTGTGTCTGTAGCTTATTTTTGTTTGTCGCGCTTGGTCAAATCAGGTTGACTGTCTCGCCTTCTCTGCATCGCTTCGTTTTCCATTTTTCCACGAAACTTCGCATTGCTTCCTGCACATATGCATATACTTGAATCTTACTAACTGATTCCACTCCTAATTCGCTTCTGTACTTGCTCGCTCGTGTGCATTAGCTCTTCTGCTTGAATTCGTTTGGTGTTGTCTGTGCTATTAAATAACAAACTATAGTCTGTGCTTCATATTACCTTCTGAATTCATACACCTTTGGGATTTATTTTATAATGGTCTTAATGATGATTGATATACGAAGCCTTAGGAATTATCTGAAAGCTAATAAACTACGGAGTCATGACAATATGAAAACAACATAACCAGCTTTCCATAGAAAACCACTGAACTCAACATACTTCGACCAATAAATTTGGATGTCAGTTTATCAAAATAATTTGAGATTTGGCAGAAATAAGCATCGGACCGGATTACCGCATCACATCAGTAAGACAGAATGAAATTAACGAGACAAATACTAAGATAGTAGATGCAGTAATTGTAGTATTATCAGTGATAATAAAAGAGATTGGTTGAGGTTAAACATCGACATCGTCATACGCCGGCTCAGTAGTCTATAGTTTAAGAGTTTCCACACGAGACCGAAGGTTTTATTTTCGGTTTTCGAGTGTGGAGGATGTGCACCGCTTAAGAGCCCTGTACTAGAGCAAAATGGTCATCCAGTGCTCTCTATTCAGGACTCATCAAGTACATGTGCCTGTAACCCAGTGATAATATTCACATTTGGACTTGAACTCGGCATCTTTTACTTTCGAAATCTAATACATTCACAGTTGTTTTTATTATATTTTATATTATTTATATATTATTATTATTATTAGCTTTCTTCAATATTCTCAGCACAAAGTATTTCAACAAGTTTCCGTTTCTTACTTCTTCGTCGATCCTGACGATAAATATTGAGTGATCGCCAGCTAGAACTTAGCAACCCAGTCAATCGACATCTGGATAATGTACATTCTTCTCGCTGCATATTGCCAGCAACCACGATATCTCTAATTAGGCCTTTTGTAACCTTTACAGCGAAAGCTCTTACACTTTTCAGAAACGCACCTGAATAGGTTGCGAGATTAATAGCCATAATGATGTATTAAAACAAACGAAATTAGATAACTTGTTGAAATATCTAGATGACAGGAACAGGTAGCCCAGATGTTTAAACAGGCCGCCAACTTGAAATTATAAGCTCTTACTAATCCTAACGTTTACAGTTTAGAAATGAAGAACAAAAAATTACCTCTAATATATATCTATCATATACATAATAGTAAATAACTTACTTGTGTACTGTAAATGCATGCAGTTTCTCTATCACACATTGGACTAATTTCAATTCCAAATTGTTTCTCTTGATCACCTTGACGAAACATTTCTTCCATAATTCTTGATACCCATTCTTGATAGATTTTTAATGGCTTTGTTGGATTACTTAAATCAGCTGCATGTATTATACATTCTAATATCTATAGATAATTAGAGATTAAATATGCTGTATGTTTTTATGTGTTTAATGAATATATGTATATTTATTTATTTATTTGAACACATAAATATTGATACAAGGAAGAACCAGATAAATATGCGTCACACTAATCTCATTTGATTTGTGTGAGGGCTGTGATAGTGCTCAGGTGCCCAAACTGAAGCAGATGGTTTTCTTAGGGAGCCACATTCGGAGCCTATGACCTAAAGGTCTGATCCACAAGGCAGTGGAGCATCCATCGTGAGGAGATGCAGTCCCATGGTAGCCGGTGACCAACAATTGATTCATACGCCATTTGTCCTTTCAGGATGCTGGAGCTCATGTGCACTATATACATATTCGGTGTTTTGTTAACACAGAAAGTCGATAGCTGTTGTGACCTTGAATCATTCTCGCAGGGTTCATAGACCATACTTGAAACACTTGATCCATTTGATAAGATTTGTTTTCTTCACTTCGTTAATTCTCTAAACATTCATCAAAACTTCAAGAACTTTCTGAAACTATCTTGAGTTTGATCATATTCATTGATTCCTGTATTGAGCAGATGGATTATTTACTTTTAGAAAGATATTCTTTACATAATGATTAAGTATGAAGCTTTCTCATTCTGAATTTCAATAACAATATAGTAATCTCTATTCTCTGACTGTACTCATTATTAGTGATTCATAACACTTTTAGCTTGTAAAGTAAGGGGAACTATAAAATCACCACACATCAAACATAATCAACTAGATGTTCTATCATTTAAAATGGAGATCACATTGCGACTTGATATTGGTTCAGCAAACAAAACGTCTAAAACGGAAAACTAGATGGTTTGTCTAGTACGTGAAAATACGCCAAGTAGTTTTGATGTATTTATAGTTAATGTCATGAGAGAAACGACTCAATGTATATTACAGTAATAATTTAAAGTAGTACGATTCTATACTCATATTCGTAGACCATATTCGTCACAGAATGATATTTCGAGTACTACTGAAGACCAGGGGGAAATGGGAAGTTTATTTTTTCCTAAAATAGAACTTCAAGTGTAGTTCAACAATGTCTCCAAAAGAGATCCAACCAAGGACTTCTAGGCCTCACATGAATGCTTAATTAATAGAGCCTCCGAGTTGGCATTTAACGATATTCTTTTAACTTCAATCAGATCAAGATGTAAAGTAATAGTCATTAATTTCTATTATGAAACCATATTTAGAGTTCAGATATATCATAAGTGAACCGGTCGTCATCAATACCGGATGATTGTTTTAAGGTACTGTAAAATGATCGAAGTTGGAATGCTATCAACAGCATTCTCAATATTATTGAGAGTTCATGAAAATAAACTGAGTTAGAAGGGGGTTTTGTGCAGATTTTTAGTAATTTTATATAGTTGAGATCATGAGTCAATTGAAGCTAGACCACCAAGTGATCGTGAATGCGCACTGCTACTGAAAAGTCCCACAATAGGACGAAACGGCCATCAAGCAGTGCTTCCAGGTTTTCCATGATGTTCTAGCTTCAATTGACTCATGATCTCAACTATACAAACTCAGTTAGTTAAAAGTTGAATGAATGGTAGAAATCAGTAGTTTCATTCATTCAACCACATACAATTTGATTCAATGTATTTAAATTGTGAACCAACACTGAAATAATTTTCTTTCTTTATGTATAGCAATTAAATTTTTCATGAAAATACCTGCATACGAGCTGAATAACTATCCAGATTGATTACATTGCCTTGAAATGCTTTTTGTTTTTCAACGGTTGTTTTTAAATCAGCCAATAATGACATATGTTTACTCATATCAGTAGATAATACCTTTGAATTAAAACAAAATTGTAGTAAAGCAATGTGAAAAATTTTAAGAATGAATATTCATAAGTTACTAGTATTCAATCATAGTTGTCTTAGAACAATTACTCAGATATTTGGAACCATCAAGTAAGCATTTCTGATGTTAGACGCAAAGTATTACAGAAGTAATTGAAAATTGTTTAGCAGGGTAGTAAGTCCCTATTGAATGAGACGATTAGGATATGTGTTGTATATGCCTGTCCACCAATCACCTCAACCAGCAATGATGGGTGGTATAGGAGTAGATCGAAAGAATTCTAGCACAAACCAAAAACATAGCATCTGTCCATGATGACATTGACTATTGTTGTTATAATACTATTAAGTAACAGTATCGCTAGAAAACGAAGCAATTTCTCGACAAACAACATGATCAGATGATCCTCTCATTTGATGATTATTAACAAAGAACGATGTTTGAAAAACGAAGTGTAGGTATAGTTTAGGGATGAACCAATTAAGATTAAAGAAATAACCTTTGAGCTTTTCCACAAAGTTCAAAAATGAGTAACTTTTATCTTATATTCATTACATGGTAAAACTGACAGCTTTAAAAGTATCAAATGCTTAATTCTTTCTAATATACAATGCATATAACACACAAATCAACCCCAAATATAAAAAACAACAACTGAGTAATTTAAAAACCTCTGTGTTTCTGCAAGAGTTCAAGAAGATTTATGTTTTTGTAGATATATTAATGAATTTATATTATCGTTGTTCCTTTCAGTATACTGACAATGGATCAGTGTGTTCATGGATAAAAATGAAGAGAATTCAGCAATGAAATTTTTTTCCTTTTCGACGTAATCATCTGCTCAAGCTATACACATTCGTAGTTATAGTTGTATGGTAAATATATTAGAAAGGGGTTTTATGGAGATTTTAGTAACTTTATATAGTTGAAATCATGAGTCAATTGAAGCTAGACCACTATGTAAAATCTGGAAGCACTGGACGGCCGTTTCGTCCTATTGTGGACTCCTCAACAGTGCGCACCAACGATCTCGCCTCATGAGATTCGAACCCAGGACCTATCAGTCTCTCGCATGACCGCTTAACCATTAGACCACTGAGTTGGCATCGTGGATTGGTTGAAGTGAGACATTAACATCGTTGACTCATGATTTCAACTATGGTAAAGAAATGTCTATAGAATGGTAGGAAAGATTACATCATAAATTGATTTGAGACCGGCATTATCAAATGAAGTTACACAAATAATCACGAGGTAATAGAAGAATATATGGCTGGAAATAATTAATACGTGAGAATTATAAAATATAATTATCCGCTTGACAGAGATGAAGGAAAAAAGAGAAATATCAAGATCATAATAATAACAACTAAAGAATAATCATGAGAAATTTTCAAAGGATAATGATAATTGATTACAGTTCGGAATTACAGAACAATAATTAAAAAAAAAGCGAAATCAAAATATACTACGAAAGGGAATTAAAACCAAAGAAAGATAAGAAGTTGGACGTATCGCTTTTGTAAGCAAAGTTTGGTCTGATGCATTGGCAATCCACCAACTGTACTCGAAAAGTGTTATTTCATTATTTTAAATCATATATCAATCAGTCAGTCAGCTACAACGTAGGATCAGGCCCATATATGCATCGGTTCAAGTTGCCATACTTCATTAGCACAACAAGATGAACACCGGATTCATAAAAGTAGTTAATTTAATGGTGGTAATATATAAAAGATAGGTTGTATATGAAGATATAGTATAGGAAGGAAAAAAGTTATGAAGCAATTTTAATCTCAAGGTTTAAGGGAAGATAAAGAGTGTATGCACCTACGTCATTGTGATCGATTCTGAGCCATGCCACACACAGTCTCCAACCATTGGTTACGATAGTCACACTGAACCCAACCAAGTAGTCTGCGTCTGCCAACATGGCTCAGACTAGCAGTTAGTGACTTCAAACACTGATGCCACATTTTGGTTTGGCTGCCCCTAACTCTCTTCCAACTATCCCCAATACTAGTCAGCATAGCGCGTCGTGGTAATCGGTGTTCAGGCATACTTATCACGTGACCCAACCATCTCAGTCGATGAAGATTCATCACCTCATCAACTGATTTATCATCATTCCCTAATACTCTGCGTCTAACCTCACTATTACTTACCCGGTGATCCCAGCAGATGCGAGCAATATTTCTAAGGCATCTGTGGTCAAATACTGGTAACCTACGAGTATCTTCTACTCTTAATGGCCATGTTTCACAGCCTTAAAGTAAAACAGAGCAAACTGATGTGCAGTATACTCGTCCTTTAATTGATAGACGGATATCTCGTCTTCGCCATAGGTGACGTAATTTGGCAAAAGCCAAACGAACTTTTTGAATCCATGCAGAGATTTCGTCAGACACCAACCCATTAGGACTGATCAGACTTCCAAGATAAGTGAAGTTGTCGACGCGTTCGACTACTTCACTCCCTATCCTTAGTTCAGGTGTTGACGCAGGCCAGTCCTGGAGTAACAATTTACATTTAGAGGGGGAGAAACACATTCCAAACATCTTAGCATTGTTACTCAGTTCCAAAAGAAGACTGCATTTTGTCAGCATCGTCACCAAATAGGACTATGTCATCTGCGTATTGTAGGTCGATAAGTGGACCTCCTGGTAGAAGATCCATTCCTGAAAATTCAGTCGACGAGTGTTATTTCCAGTAATATGTCTATAATGAAGTTAAATGAAAATGAGGATAGTGGACATCCTTGTCGGACACCACTTGAGGTTATAAAATCAGATGACAGTTAGCCATAAGCTCTCACTCGACTGGTAGTGTTCGAGTAAAGAGCCTTCACAAGGTTTATGTACTTCTGAGGTACACATTTCAATGACAGACACTGCCACAGAACCTCTCGGTCTACAGAGTCAAATACTGTTTTTAAGTCATGGAAAACTATCATTGGTTTTCAAAGAAATTTAATTTATTAAAATATTAAAAAAAAACTAAACATACTACTTACTAAAGCAATAACCATTTTACGAAATAACAGCTTTTGTTGATTTGTAAAATATTTTGTAAAATCACATTCTATCTGTGTATTAATTAATTTAAATGCTACATGTAAATGATGATTTTCCAAAACTGATATATCATTATATAATAGAGCTAATTCATGATCTATAAATTCAATGTACAAAGAGATAGAAAGAGTAAGGTTGTTTGTTTTTTTAAAAAGAAAAAAGAAGATCAAAATGTATTTTCATAGTTGAGATCATGAGTTAATTGAAGCTAGACTACCATGGAAAACCTGGAAGCACTGAAGACAATTGTTGAATGGTTGCTCAAACTTCTTGGATTGGTTGAGGTTACATATTAACACCGTTGGATGCCGGATGGTTCAATGGTCTATCGGTTAAGTGCACTGGCGCGAGACTGGTAGGTCTCGGGTTCGAATCTTGTGAGTGCGGGATCGTGGATGCTCACCGCTGAGGAGTCCCACAATAGGACGAAACGGCCGTCCAGTGCTTTCACGTTTTCCATAGTGGTCTAGCTTCAGTTGACTCATGATTTCAACTATGAAAATAGTGAAATCTCCACAAAACCCATTCTTAAGATTAAAATGGATGAACACATTAATTGTAATGATACAAAACATTAAATATAGTTTATTAGATTCACTTGATGTTGTTTAGTTGAATCTTCCCATTGATGTTTAGAACTGCAACTGGTCAGTCTCTCATTGGCATATGTGCCTCGATATAGCTTTAATTCACAGGCATTGTAAGCAGAGATGGATAGTGGCTAGGAGCGGAATCCAGTTTGACACGCGTTTCGTCCCTATTTGGGACCCATCAGCTGGATTTACTTGCATCTCAGACTTGTTGATGTTCACTGTGAGACTCGAACCCAGGAACGTTGTAATTGTTATGTCTCGTGGAGATTTATGAATGGTGACTTCTGAGGACTATTTATAGACAAATATGATATGTATATTTCCTATTGTATAATTGCTAATTAACTTAACTATGCATATTTACTTTCTCCTTATCATGAGTTTCATCTTGAACTATAAACTATTATTATACGATTTACCATTCTTGAGTAATCCCTACTCTATTAATTACTCTTCCCCCTATTCACAGCCACATTTGGCTGAATCTTGTACAAATGTTATTTTATATTTTATGATACGATGTCGTCAGTCTGTTTGGTAATATAAACTCAGTATGTTTGAAATACAATGATTCATACCACAGAAGCTGTTACTAGTGTTCTGGACATAACTAGCTGGGCTAGACAGAAAAGCAGGACTGATAAGTGCTCAAGACTGCTCATACGGTGTTTCGTGTACCATAGCTTTGATCGATGATTCACTCCTCTCTGATAGGAGGTCTTATCACTCATATGTATATTAAACAGGGCACATAATCACGCAATCGATATAACAGTTTATGAGGTTTAATTTAAGTATACTTACTAACTAACTAGGATCAAGAATTATACTTGAAGATGTTAGTATAAATAGCAAACCATTATAGTGACTATCGGTTATAATTATTAATGATAATTTTTGATGTGAAAAAGCATCGCTCATTATTTATAAGACATTGGGTCACTGAACAAAACACTCATTTGTGAATGTGGACAATAAATAATTGAAAATATTCACTTAGTATTGCTTGTTTGAATCTTTCCATTGATGCTTAGGACTGCAATTGATCAGTCTCTTATAGGTATATGTGCATACTGTGCGTATTGCTTCGATATAGCTTTAATTCACCAGCATTACAGGCAAAGACTCTGTAGCTGAGTGGATAACGCGATGGCGTTTGAAGCGAAAGGTAATGAGTTCGAGTTCCAGAGTGAATATCAACTCTGAGATGCAGGTACATCCAGCTGACGAGTCCCAAATAGGACGAAACGAGCGTCAAACTGGATTTCACTGCTAGCCACCATCCATCTATGCTTATAATTGAAAATATGTTTAAATAAATATGAGATAGAGAGATTTTTCACTGAGACGTTAGTCAGCGGTAGAATTCAGTTTAGGTATGGGATTGGCTTAGAAAGAGTCTTTAAGATTGGGAGTAAAGTCCATGGTTAATAGTGGAATTTAGGGCTATGAGATAAATAAATATACCAATTCTAATTTCTAACCCCGAATCACAACCTATACCCAACTTGAGGAAGTTGTGTAATCATGTTAAATCAATATTATATTCTTTGCAATTTTTCCGCGTTTTCTGTTCTTAATTACTCATTCGTATTTGCTGGGTTTTTTTATTGGCTAAGAGGTGTCGTGATCTTATAGTTATTCGCTAATATGATTTCGTTTTACCACTATTAGAAACATTCATAATTAATTACTAAATGTTATGGAGAATAGGATAACGTTAGTAGTTGGAAGCAAACAGCAAGAAGTCATATTTGATCTAAGCTTTCTGTTAACATGACTTACAAACAGTTTTAAGAGAATTGACGCTCTCGGTAAAATCTTAACTCAAAATTAATTAGTGTCACTTAGTGAAGAACACTACCACTGAAAAACTTAAACACTAAACCTTAGTCCAGGACCTGTTGTCGACTGAAGTCACGATATTGATCTGCTCAGACTAATGGCCACTCGATCATTTCACGATAAGCAAACACTTATGATCAATAACTTGCACCCTATGCAAATCTTCTACTATCATAGACTATGTTTCACAAATATAGAGTAATACAGAGGTGACTGATGAGGATTGTATTCGTCCTATTGCTGACATTAGTTTTCATTATATAGCTAAGTTTTAAATACATTTTGTTAACTTACTTGTATTTATAAGGTATTGATTTGTTAAACCAGGATGGTCGATATCATGTATAGCACTAGCAAAGAAAATTGCAAATGTTTCAAGATCACTGAAGATATTCTAAGAAAGTGAATAGAAATAAGCCATAGAAAAAGTTTGTTAGAAAAAGAGATTGATTTTACTTTATTCACAGATGACATGTGAAAGCTGCCCCTATCTTCAAAGACTGTAAATAAACCACAAAATGATCTTATAGTTGATTGAGAAATGTTTTAATTACGTAAATTACAGTGGTTCGTTATCTGTCTACTGGTTAAATAAACAGAACATTACAAATGTTCTGGACTTTAGTATCAGTCATTACAGAACACATTACGTTTTTATGTGTAAGTACTAACTGTTTGTCATGTATATATGTTGCGATCCAGGAAGTTTGATGTGGGCACATGAGCAAGACGTAGTGATCAGTGTACTGTTCATGGATGTCAGTATACATGTTATTACTCCAGTGTCATTTTCACTGTGGACACGTCCACCAGATACCGACTGTTCACACGATCACCAGACTGGTTGCATATCCATTGGCCGACGTTTACCTCACGACCTATCATTGGCGGTCGTGCGTGGTGAAATGGCCACGAGGAGAGCTCCATTTACATACCTCCGTACGTGCATTCCGACCTGTATAGTAAAAGCCGCTGGCCAAACTGAGAGAGATATACACGCTTACTATAAGCTTACCCAAACTGTTATGAAAGAGTGATAAGGTTGGGAACTGACTACAGATTCGTAATTGACAAAACCAAATTAATAGATATACAAGATATTGGTATATTTATTGTTATATATTTGTCCTTCTGACCCAGGCAAGGATAAATAGGCTGAGACCTTGGTATTAGGAATAAAATAGACTTCCTTCAATAGTGTATTACTTTTATAATTTCTCACCCATAGTTTGATCTTGAACATGTGAACACAGGCACATAGAACCCCTAGACCCTTCCAACCTACCAGCAAGTCACCAGCTAAAAGGTAGATAAGTTGTTGAATGAGAAAGAGGCCATAATGGTCAATGTTTATTTCTATTCCATAGTAACTTAACCGAAAATGATATCTGTCTACTATTGAATATCTTTCACATTGTTCTATCATTGAAAAATATCACCTAACTGTTACCCACATTTCTTGAAATCACTCTTAAATCTCAATTCAGCAAGGTTATTTAAGACTTATTGTTTTGAGGAACAGTTTTACAAAGATGATTTTGCAAATCAGTCTTCAAACTGAGTTCATGATCAACAACATGAGCTTAAACTATTAGAACAAATAGTTCCCTTGTTAATGAGATAAAAAAGGTACTGAACGATGTTTAAAGTACACCACTTAAAATTGATTGATGTCAGAGTATTGAACAATGTCATATTTGTTTGGTCCTTTAAAGTTTGTTGAATTCTATAGATCAAGTTGTGTTGTCACCATTATTCTAACCGGCTGAACATTTCGTGGATAGTGTTTTAATATTATGTAGCTTGAGGTTACCGATAGAAAATCTTGAACCAGAGCACATGCCAGATGACACTCATGAGTATCGCGTGGCTCTAGTCTTGATAGAATTGATGTTCCGTGTGTGATTTGAACCAGAGTCATTTAAGCCCCCCCCCCCCAGCCTGAGGAACTAAAATAAAAATGTTAAGATGAACTGATAAGTTGTTTCCTTTATAAGTTTAGAATTCCAAAGAAGTATTTATCCGCAATGCAAAACTTAAGTCTCATGGCGAGCTCGTCACTTTTACATCACTCTTTATTTATACAAATTCAAGTTCGAAAACTTATCTATGCGCATAAATAGTCAGTTCAATAAACACGTGAATCAACTAATAAAGTTCTTTTTTACATGGACAACCTTAGGCCTCTAGTATCGATAGACAGATTAAGTATGTTTAATCTCATATACCTTCTAATCACTGACTCACTGTCTGGATGAATTAGTTAAAATCAACTTTCTACATCCTTTTGATAAAACATTTAAGGTTGAGGGGAAACAGATGGAATGGTTTAACAGCTGAAGAACTGTTAAAGAGATTACACAATTATCAAATTTTCGTTAATAAATGTTGATTTTTCACTGATAATAACAACAACAACCTAGATTACTTGTTTTCTAATTCAAGTTTTCGTATGATCTTTGACGTTCTTTGATTGTTTGTCACCACATCTTACTTACTTACTTACTTACTTAGTACGCCTGTTACCCCTCTTGGAAGAGCATAGGCCGCTCACCAGCATTCTCCATCCAACTCTGTCCAGGGCAATCCTTTCCAGTTCCTTCCAGTTTTTATTCATTCTTTTCATATCTGCTTCTATTTCCCGACGTAATGTGTTCTTTGGCCTTCCTCTTTTCCGCTTCCCTTCTGGATTCCAAGTTAGGACTTGCCTTGTAATGCACATTGGTGATTTCCTTAATGTATGTTCGATCCACTTCCAACGTCTTTTCATAATTCCTCTTCAGCTGGAAGTTGATTTGTCCTCTCCCATAAAACGCTGTTGCTGATAGTATCCGGGCAATGGATGTTGAGTATCTTGCGTAATCAACTATTTATAAATACTTGTACCATCACGTCTAGTTTGTCAATTTTCTGTACGCTCCAAGGTCAAGTTTTGTAATTATGTATATAGAGTTACACTATTCTAGTTTATCTGCTTAAATACTAAGTTTTCATGCAGTTTGGGTTTTTTTCCCTTTTGTTTCTTCGTTAAAACGATTTATTGTTGAAATGGTTACCAGTTCCCAGTCTATCAAGTCTGCCACAGGACCCATTCGTATTCGAATAGGCTCAATCGTCTCTTAATAAACAATCAGTGCAGATCCGCATCGAACCAATTCTCGAGATGAAACAAGGACCTCTAAGTATAATTTAAAAACGATATGCATTAGAAACGAGACAAGTGTATTACAGCAACCGATGAAACATTTTAAGAGAAATATTGCCATATCCAAACAAAGACTAAAAATATGGTAACTTCTAATAACAATTTATGGATGATTTATATGTATTCCTTTTATCATAAGCTCCCGATTAACCCATTAACTACTGTTGTATGGTCTGCTGTTCTTCACAAGTTACCAGTTTATTATCCACACTCTCCCTACTCACAAACAATTTGATCTTGATCATATCTAATTGTTATGTCTCCTTTTATTGTATGATATGATCTGCTATGCCTGTGTATAGACTAACGTCCTCATGGAATATAATATTCGTTGATTGATTTTGGTTACTGACTGTGAAATTGTGGACCGATAAAGACTTATGAATTGGTTGATGGTTACTAGTTCTAGTTTTGTATATATGTAATTGATCAACTCATAGATGCTAAGTCATATCCATTGGTATTCTGTTTGGTGGTTTTCTCATGTGTTTTTAGTTAGTTGTCACAAGTCATGACAGATAATAAATAAAGTACCAAATATAACTTACTTTTAAACTATTACATTGAAATAATTGATAAGTTGCATGTAGTACATCTAAGGCATGAATTGAATTATGAAATGGTGCAGTTGAATTGTATAGTGACTCAATTTGTCTTAAACAATTCAACATTGTCACTGAAGGTATAGACAATTTCTGTAATACATTCGTTTTCTGTATTAAGATAAAAAAATATATGAAAAAACATTTTGATGAGTATTAACAGCCAAATAAAGTTTACTAGAAGGAAACAAGAGTGAGTTATTGAGGATATATCATACACATAATACGTTATGTAAACAGGTTAAGACTCATCAATAAGGCGTATTTGAAATCTCATACAGAATTATATTTATCGTTGTGGGACTTGCATCTTTTTGTCCGACTTCACAGTCTGAGATTTTAACACTGGATCAGCAGAACAAGGCTTTATTACCTACAATATAAATATAGTAGTCGATTAAGTTGTATAAAATTAATTCTATTGGTAAATGATTTCTTTTATACAACAGATATCTATTGTAACATCTAATGTCTAAGTAGCTGTGTTATAAATTTAGAATTTATGTATTTATAAGCAAAGATGGATAGTGGCTAGCAGTGGAATCCAGTTTGACGCGCGTTTCGTCCTATTTGGGACTCGTCAGCTGGATGTACCTGCATCTCAGAGTTGATATTCACTCTGGAACTCGAACCCAGTACCCTTTCGCTTCAAACGCCATCGCGTTATCCACTCATCTAATGAGTCCTGATAGCCACTTGCTTGTGCAATGGGGTGAAGTTTAAATTCACTTTGTATTGTTTGTTTCCATCTTCCCCTTGATGTTTAGGACTGCAACTGGTCAGTCTCTGAGATGCAGGTACATCCAGCTGACGAGTACCAAATAGGACGAAATGCGCGTCAAATTGGATTTCACTGCTAGCCACTATCCATCTATGCTTACAATGCTTATGAATTTAGGCTATATCGAGACAATACGCACAGGATGCACATATGCCAATTAAAGACTGATCAGTTGCAGTCTCAAACATCAATGGGAAGATTCAAACAATTAATACTAAATAAATTTAAATATTGAAAATGTTGAGTGAATCTCAGCACAACAATGTTCATACGTTAGATTATTTAAGCTAATTATAAATACTTACCATAAACAAATAAAAACCAAATGTACTTAAAGGATGATGATTGGAAATTTGATCTAATTTAAATAGATCTGGAGCTAAATTCGATTGATTATTTATGATAAACTATTAAAAAAAAACAAAGAAAGAGCATATGAAAAGTTTTCGTTTATAGAAATAAAACAAAAATCACTTTCATAGAATTAAGATCATGAGTCAATTGAAGCTAGACCATCATGGAAAACCTAGAAGCACTGGATGGCAGTTTCGTCCTACTATGGAACTCCTCAGTGGCAGTGCGCATCCACGACCCCGCCTCGAGAGACTCGAACCCAGGACCTAGCAATCTCTCACCAGAGCACTTAACCGATAGACTACTTCCTCTTTTTTCAAAACAATGCATATTTGGACTGTAACTTGGAGTAGAATCTGTTATGTATATTTCGTCTTATTTATGATTTATCAGATGATTGCACTTGTATTCCAGTATTGATATGCCCACATTATAACGAAATAGATATCTTAAGTTCCACTGATAGAGACGATCTAAACTTTCATAACGGAAATATTAAATTTTTTTCAATTCTATGTTGGAAGCCAGATACTAAATTAAAAGACCATTAGACTAAGAGCTGGATTACGTGATAAACTCTACTAAGTTATTTTACCAACTATCAAGAACCAGATATAGTTCAAAATACTAATTTGTTGACATCTGTACAAAGAGGTTAATAAAGGAAAATTCAAGATAATCTCTTATATTTTAGTTCAGTAGGATATGTCTGTCTTCATTCACGTACCAATCACGGCTTAACTTCGTCAAATGCATGACAAATATGCTAAGAATTATGATGAAAGGAAAATGTCGAGGCAGTTCACTAAAAAAATAAACATATGATTAATCGGTTATTGTCCTGGTATGGTGTATGCTACTGATGTCTACAGATATAAGTAGTATGTATCATCAATCGAAAGTGGATTGTCTGACAGCAAAAGGTTAAGAATATCGAAGGAGAGAGAACAAGAACAGTGAGTGATTGGTGTGTAAACAAAAGAATAATGAAGTTTGAGACAATTGATTGACATTTTGAAAATAAAATATTTACTGCATGATTCTTAAATTTTACTAAGAGATTCTGTAATGTAATGAAATATATTTGATTGTTCCTGTTTGTGTTCTCGTTCACTAAACTGGAACTCGACAGTGGGAAAATGAAAATTCTTAATGTATAATAAATTTGACCTTATTCATATTTCTAGGAAATCTGTTCGGATTTTTAAATAGGGTTTGAGTTTATGTCAAATCCTTACTGAAGATCATATTTTCATAGAAATTTTGAAGTTATCCATTGGTCATTCATATAAATAACTGAGCTAAGCAAGACAAAAGATTTCTATTATAGAATTTTAAGATAACTTCATTAAATATTTAGTTTATGTTATTTATACATTTACTTACTTGTAAGCTTTCATTTAACTTATGAACTCATTATATATGAAAATTATGATTTGAAACAATCTCAGCGATTGAAATTCAATGTTTCGTCCACCTAACTGAACTGGACTTCTTCAGGGTAGTAATCAAAATCATCGAAGAAATATATAGTGTTTCTTCTTAACAATCATATCAAAATCAATACTACATCAAAACCAATCATATTTGGATGTCAAATCTTTGGAAACAGGATACGTGCTCTCACGCGAGATTGGTAGGTTCTGGGTTCGAATCTCGCGAGTGAGGGATGGTGAATGCGCACTGCTGAGGATTCCCATAATAGAACGAAATGGTCATCCAGTGCTTCTATGTTTTCTATGATGGTCTAGCTTCAATTGACTCATGATCTCAACTATATAATATAAGTCAGTTAAATGAGAATCAAGTGAAAAGTTCACTATGTGAAATAAAAGGAGACTGGATGAAATGTGTGTGTGTTTATGTATGTGTAGGAATGAGTTCTTAATCAATGATATTCGGCGTTAATATGTTTCTATATGAAGTAAAAATAATAGTACTAATTGAAGGTTGATAAAAATTGTTTCTGTATCATTGAATTGCAAGTCAAAAATAAGAATCATCAAGTACTGTGGTGTGGTCTACTTATATCCATATAAGTAGTATATGGTGTTGGTCAGACATAGAATGTATTTTCGCAGAAGACCGATGGGGAAAGAACTTAAACGAAGCGCGATCGGAAGGAAAATGGACGAACAATGGAATTAGAGAAGAAACAGTGAAGATCGAGACTATTGGTTGTTAATTTGCAAATTGACTGTTCATTGTATGGTTGTCAGAATTTACCGAGATAGTCTGTAATGTTTGCTTAAATATATTCGATTGTCCACAACCAGTGTTCTGTTCACTACAGTACATAATTGCAATGGTAAACATAAGTCATATTGTTTTCAGTCAAAATAACGATTCATGTGAAATAAACAGGTTGAATAAAGTAAGGAAAAGTCCAATTACTTGTTAATGAATATTACCCAAGTAGTTGCTAGCTGTTCTTATTCGCCTATATGTACAGCGCTTCTGCTGTCAATCTTTCTTTATGAATGTTGAAGCCTTTCTGATGTATTTTGGCCCCTTCAAAATTAATCCTGTATCTCGTTTCTAACACATATAACACTATTGCAGACTTATTTCAATCTCTGAGACTGTTTCAAACTATAATTTTTACATATAATGACTTCTCTATACTCGGTGCCCAATTTTTATCAAGCTATTCTTTCTAATCTTGACGAATATTCGTATAAATAACTCATGAACTGTTTAAGTAAAATCGACTGTTTATCAAATTACTATGAATTATGTTCCTATTACTCAGTTTTGGATCACATATGACTGAGTTATGTACAAGGTATATAATACAATGAGTTTTTTGATTTATATAACAATACAATAAGAGAATATCAATCAGTTTGTTACCACTGTATCCTAACTAGCCACTGAAAATAAATGTTAAAAGGGTCAATAGACATTTGAATAGTTAGTCAGTGTTGGTTACCATTTATTTAAATGATTAAAGCGAAGATTATTAGTTTGATTGATATAAATTTCTCTTAGTTGAAAGCTTGAGTCAATTGAAGCTAGACCGCTATGGAAAACCTAGAATCACAGGATGGCCGTTTCGTCCTTTTTATAGTACTCCTCAGCAGTACGCATTCACGATCCCGTCTTGCGAAATTCGAAACTAGGACCTACCAGTCTTGCACCAGAGCACTTAACCGGAAGATCGCTTCGAGACGTAAATCCAGGAGTTCTAGTGAGAAGCAGTAACCAGTGGAGTTCAAACTACGTCTGTTGTGAGATAACAACTCACTGAAGAACGGTTGCTCAACTTCGTGGATCAGTTGAACTTAGACAATAACACCATCAGATCCCGGTTTAATGGTCTATCGGTTAAGCGCTCTGGTGCGAGATTGGTAGGTCCTGGGTTCGAATTTCGCAAGGCAGGATCGTGGATGCGCACAGCTGAGGAGTCCCATAATAGAACGAAACGGCCGTCAAGCAGTGCTTCCAGGTTTTCCATGATGGTCTAGCTTCAATTGACTCACACTTTCATCTATGAAAATACTAAATCACCACAAAACCCTTTATGATAATAATAAATTTCTCTCCTCAAAAGTCGGCTCTGCCATCTTGGCATCTTATTTAATGAGGATATAAAAAGTTCAATCCATAGCTATGGGTTTTAACAAGTAATTGAAAAAGAGCCTAAATAGATGTTTTTAAACCTACATTTTCCACTATTGAATGATCAACATGTTCAATATTCAATGCAATTAACTTTAATGTATCAGATATTACATCTGTATCATTGAATTGTGTAGATGAGGTAGATTTTAATTCAGTTATAGACTCGGTTGTCTCGCTGGATTCATTCATTCTTTCTTCATATTTATCACTGAATCGAAGTTTGGACTTTGGACTATTCAAATGAATAGATTTTTCTGTAGATAGATTATAAGATGATATGTTTTTGGAGTTGTCTTCCTTCTCCTCCTCCTCCTCCTCCTCATCACCATCATCTTCATGATTATGGTCAGCATCTTCGTCATCATCTTCTTCAAGAAATGTTTTACAAATATATTCACAAACTTGTGATCTACAACTTCTAAATTGTTGTTTACGTTTTTGTATTTGACTAATATTTGACCTTTTATTATTGTTATCTTGATTATGTATTAGTAAAGAGGTGTTTTTTGAAGTTAAATCATCGAAACGAACATTGTGAGTTGTTGTGGTTGATTTTTTTAATGAATCTTTCTTGATAATTTTGTCATTTGATTGATTGAATGAAGCAGCCAACTCTTGACTAAGAAGACTACGTAACTAAATCAATAATAGAAGAAATATGCAAAAAACAAAATTAAATAATCATTTCAATTTAATATACAGTCATTTTTAAGTGAACTGATACATGATTTGAAAGTGTGAGTCAATTAAAGCTAAACCACCATGGAAAACCTGGAAGCACTGGACGGCCGTTTTGTCCTATTATGGGACTCCTCAGCAGTGCACATCCACGATCCCGCACTGAAGAGTCCCATAATTCAATAATGTTATATCCTAGTGAAGAGATAAGTACTGCTAACTCCCAGGACCTATAAATGGACGGTTATTCTATATATACTCTTATTGTTTAATTATTGAGTAATTAGATTGCATATATCAATATTCATCTTATTATAAGCTTCGTTTTGATCTATGGATTATTATTATACGAATGACTGTTCCTAAATTATATTCAGTTTATTGATTGTTGTATCCTACGTTCGCAGCCACATTTGGCTTGATATTGTACAAATATTATTTTCTATTTTATAGTGTGATGCGGTCTGTCTGTCTGGTATATAAACCGAGTATGCTTGAAATAAATGATTCACATAGCAGAAGCTGTCATTGGTGTTTTTGGACTCAATTTAAAGGGCTAGGCACACAAGGGACCAATAAGGACGCTAGACTGTTTATACCGGTCAAACGTCATTGATTTGGAACAGTGTTAAGATTGGTAAACTCATATTTCCATTGGTGGTTAAATCACGTGATAAAAAGCCGGACATAAAATCATAACAAATTGGCAAAAGCCTTCTTTTAAAAGTCATAACAAATAAATCACCAAGAAACTTGATTATCTTGAGTTCGATCCCTAAAAAAGTAGTGGGTAATTTGAAACTTTGGAGAACTCGAATCAGTACGAAACAGTCATTCATTCTTGTTTGAAATCATCGGTCAATTCTGGAATAAATTGGAACCACAAAAATTCACTTACATCATCAGATTTAGTACATACATGAATGACTTACTTTCATTCGGGTTAAACTGCTTACAGAACGTTTACTTTGTAAACTGTCCAATACTTCTAAACACCAATCAAATTCATTCAACAATTGATTCACATAATGTACATCAAATCGTTGTAGACAATCTAATTTTATTGTATAACAAAATAAAAGAAAATTATTTCAATGAATAGATCTTTAATGAATCCAAGATTTTTGTTGTGTGTGTGTATGTATGAAGTAAATGAGTTAAATTATACACTTAGACTTTTCTTTTCAGTGGTATCTCAGTTGAGGTCAGTCTGTGTTGAATACGGTCTACAAATTGAATTGATCACCGTAACTCCCTTTTGTACACAAACACACTGTATATAGATTTTTTAATCATATCATATTATTGTTATTAGCTTTCTTCAATATTCTCAGCACAAAGTATTTCCACAAGTTCCCGTTTCTTACTTCTTCGTCGATCTTGACGATAAATATTCAGTGATCGTCAGTTAGAAGTTAGCAGCCCAGTCAATCGATATCTGAATAATGTACATTCTTTTCGCTGCATATTCCCAGAAAACACGATATCTCTAATTAGGCCTTTTGTAACCTTCACAGTGAAAAGTTGTACACTTTTTAGGAACGCTTCTGAATAGGTTGTGTTATTAATAGCCATAATGATGTATTAAAACAAACGAAATTAGATAACTTGTTGAAATATCTAGATGACATGAACAGGTAGCCCAGATGTTTAAACAGGCCGCCTGTCGTTAAACCACAGTGTAAATTTATCTAATAACTTGCAGTCGTATTATAGATGATGATGATATGAAGCGGATGATTTATTTAATAAATTATTTATTTATAAGTAGTATTCATCACAGACTGATGTCATCCAAGGCATCATTAGAAATCAGGAAGCATTTGACAGCTGTTCATTAATGTGCACATATGACCCTACCAACAGTACAACCCAGGACACTGAGTTCACGCGATAGACGATGGTTTTTGCACGGACCTCAACATAAATAAATTCGTGACGAATATAATCTGCAGATTAAGCCAATCTTCATAAAATCCTTTCAATTAAATTGTTTAATATTGAAAAAGTTACTACCGAATACATGCAAAATGATCTTTCCCTAGCCTTTCTTATTATTTGTTATCCAAGATTGACGAAAACCACAACATGAGTTCAAAATGTTTCTAAAGTTTTGGAGAAAGAATTCATGACTGTTGGAGTTCAGGCATATCAGCAGTGAAAGAGTCTTCATAAACGGTACTGCATGATTGTCGTACTATACTGTGAGTTAAGGGAAGTTGAAATAATATCATCAGAAACTGATTTAGTAGTTTTAATGGTCGAGATCCTGTGTTCAATCCTTATTACGGTCATGGCTGTGTAATACTGAAGAGCCCGATTTTAGGACGAAACCAAATATTCACTGGCATCTCGGTTGAGGTCAATCTGTGTTGAATACAGTCTACAAATTGAATTACTCACTGTAACTTTCTTTTTCACACAAACACACTTAACTAGTTATTCTTTATCGTTGTTTTATCGTGAAAATTAGAATAACATATATCACTGAATAGCATTGTTACCAAATAGATTTTTATTATTATTATTAGAAGGGGTTTTGTGGTGATTTAGTATTTTCATAGTTGACTTAATCCTTAAATTTTTTTCCGATTAGTTTTTATTTTTCGCACATGTTCATGGTGGATAGTATTCAATGTCCAAAACATTATTAGAATAAGGGGGCTATTTGTGGAGATTGTTATTAATTTTTATATATAGTTGAAATCATGAGTCAATTCAAGCTAGACCATCATGGAAAACCTGGAAGCACTAGACGGCCATTTCGTTCTATTATGGGACTCAGTGGCAGTGCGCATCCATGATCCCGTAATCACGAGATTCGAACCCAGGACCTATCAGTCTTGCGCCAGAGCACTTAACCGATAGACTACTGAGTTGGCATCCAACGGTGTTAATGTCTAACTTCAACCAATCCACGAAGTTTGAGCAACCGTTCTCCAATTGTCTTCAGTTAGTTGATATCTCACAACAGACGTGGTTTGAACTCCACTACTTCTCACTAGAACTCACTAGAACGGTCGTTCAGTGCTTTCAGGTTTTCGATGGTGGCCTAGCTTCAATTGACTCACGTTTTCAACTATGAAAGATTTTTATTAACCTTGACTCTGATATTCATTAATATTTATATGTATATATGAAAATTAACAAACCAATCAAGAGAGTTTATGAGGTAATGACAAAAACAAAATAGATTGCATGACCAAACATAATAAGTAAAAAATAAAAATTGATAATGTGATAACAGGTCTATATCTACGTGTATCTACAAATTCAGTTGCCGCTGACGAGGACGCTATATCTGACGTAAAATCAATCAGCTTACCCAACGAGTTAGTGAATATTTCACTTCATGATTAGGAAATGTTATGACCCAAACAATACATAGTTTCGTTCTGTCACATTTGGTCGATACATGTCATGTAGTAGATGGAAACAAATCATTCGGAGTGTTTTTATTTTAAACCTACCACTTTTCCCTATGAGATTCGATATTGTCTTGTACATATGGCAAAATCTATAGGAATTTGAACTGATAACCTAATTACCTGTATTGCTAAGAAAGTTGTAACACTCTTATCTCTTTATTGTCTAAACTAGGCTTGACAAACAACTTTACTTATTATTATTATAATTTCCAGTAGCAAAATGCGACCTAAGGCCCCCTTGAGGAGCCTCTGGATAGTAGTAGCAACTTTGCTAGCCAACTAAGGTGGTTGATGGAGATCGGGCTGTTGTATCCTGATCAACTCGGGTTATAACTCGAGGTTCACTTAATTGAACCGGGCCACTTGATGTGTACGATTATGTATAAAAAATACAGTAGTCCTCGGGCCTTTGTAATTCATGTATGTAGGTGTATGAAAATGGTGTACGTGTGGTGTCATACAAAGGAAACGTTAGCTGAAATATTGTTTGCCATATGTTTAATAAAATTAGCTGTCTAATCTATCAGGTCAAAGACAAAATTAAAAGATATGGTAGCAAATACTAGGGAGAGGTGACCAACAACCTCCTCTGATAGAATGCTTATACTTATGTGTATCAGGAAGTACGTTGGTGGTAACCATGTGCTTAATAATATCCATGTATTGTGTAAGAGACGGTATGGTGTAGCAAATACGTTTCCAAGGGAGTGGTGAACCCTCCCAAGTGGGTGAATATACCTATATGTATGCTATAGGATGCATGGGATAAAACCTGTGTTGTTGCTGTTCGTATAACTTATATTTGCTCACAGGGTAGGTATACCTGTATGCATACCAAGGAATACTCACATGAAATTCCATGATCTACCTATTATTCATGTAGACCATACCTATTCAGGGTAAGTAATGACAAAAATCCTATACTTGCTCTTATTATGATATCATGATACACATAAAGACCTGAGGGGCCTCGATTCCCTCAAAATTACGTCCACGCGGTGTATTTGTGGGCCTTTAAAACACGAAATCCATTCTAGAGGGTCCTACATAGGCTTCACCAGAAAAGGCTTTGCCAACCAATCTGATTGGAATACATCGTCATTATTATCTTCCATATCCGTAGTTTGTTTGTTTTCCTTCCTCATAACAGAAGAGAAACACAACCAAAATAAACATATACACAACGACCACACAATTATGTATAAAAACCAACAGTTAACGGGATGAGCTATTAGTCAATTGTGAAGAAATTGTAGTAGCTCACTTCTCTTTAAAGTACATGCTGACAATGATTTTGTTCAGAAGAACAATGAGAACTTCACAACCAAACCATTCAGTTTGCAGACCACAATAGCAACATCCGCATCTTAAGCTAAAAATACACTCCACCATCTTAATTTATTAAACATAAGTTCAACAAAGCTAAGGAAAGATTATATGAAGATATTTCTCTTGGCTATTGCTTCTGCAGTCCGACAAATACTGTACAAGATTGCTTTTGACGGGCTGGTCACTATTCATTGCGTAACATTTACGAAATCTAGTTAACATCCCCTAGTACAGAGGATTGTAGAGACTCATTAAATTTTGTAGGTTCGCATCACGGATTGACCTTAGTTAAGTAACCATTGAAAACTAGAAACCACTATATAATTGTTTCGTAGTAATGCGAGATTCCTATCCATTCATTATGCACAACCTCACCAGTGATGGAAGCCAGAACACTGAAATCATGTGGAGAGTGCTCATTGGATGACCTTATAGGGTGTCAATTTTAGTTATCTTAAGACTAAATCGTCTTTTCTGGAGAGTAAAGGTGACCTTATTCTTTTCTTTCAATTAAATTAAAAAAACAGAATTACCTAAACATGTAACTTACTAACATATTTTTCATCACAGCCGATTGACTTCGTGCTACACATATTAGGATCATGCGGAGAATAAGAGGGAGAGCTGAAATAAAGAAGCAGAATAGAGGAGGTTTGGTTTTGAATCTAGTATTGATTTCGTAATATATGAAATCATCTGGGATGTGTTGATAGCTGATACGTAAATTTGGACTTAACCATCAACGTGAATTAATATCAATTGGAAGGTTAGGGATTAACAACAAGAACTGAACAGCTAGGATTTGTCGGTAAAGTACTCTTATAACCACTTGACTATTCCACCAGTGAAACTTTGGATTCAAATCTAATTGTCAAGAAGCACTTCAAGGAGGAACTGACAATTCAGGTCAGTAAGGAAGAAATTTTCTACCTTAAATTTTCATTTATCTTGCTACGTGTTGTTCATCACGATTTCATCGTATATTGTCAATGTCAGTCCATTTTGACTGTCATACTAAGATTCCTCAGTCATATCACCAATGATTCACATTTCAAGTTCCGTCACTTTGTGAGATCATAGGAGAAAATCGAGCCAAAATTGTAACAGTTAAGCCCGGATAAGACTGTTATTAACCGTATTGTTTCCTGAATTGACTAAAAAAGGGTAATATAAAGTACAGAATTCCGACATAGTAGTTTGACATGGCCATATGTTCTGCCAATCGTCAGTCATTAGATGAAAAAAGAGATCATCCATTGATGAAGTTCTAAATAGTTATCATCTGAAGTGGTAACGTTAGATATCTCCAATGAACCTAACCACCCCCTACCCCGGAATCCAATCCCATCCGGGAAAGGAGTAAGTTAGAATAACTCTAAATGCAGCAAATCAAAATATGTAGACAATGATAGGATGTATGTGAAAAACAGTCTGTTAATTTTAAACTCGACAAAACAAGCTGTTAGTTATATGTGAAGAAATTCTTATAATTCCTGTCTGAAGTAAATGGTCCTTATGATAAAGATATTGTCTAGAGATAACTTCATGATTAAGCCAAGTGACTCAAACAACTCAATTTCAACAAAATGATTTATTTAGGCTACAGATCTTTACCACCATTTTATATTATCCATTTAAACTTAGTTTGTGTACCAGCTATAACTTTCCATTCTACTTTTTTAAGCTGTGCTTTCTTTTCTCTTGTTCAATTTCACATTACTGTAAGTGATATTAGGTTTCCACTTATTTGATTTCTTATCTTAGGTAATTTTCTCTTTTATTATGTTAATATGATGTACTTGATCAAGATCATGAGTCGATTGATGTTAGACCACCATTAAAAAGCTGAAAGCACTAAATAGCCGTTTCGTCCTAGTATGGGACTTCACAGAAGTATGTATCCACGATAGTGTTCTAACATTGATCGATTCATAATCTTAATCAATAAATTAACAATATCCACAACCCCATACTGATAATATGATCTATGTCAATTCGAAAGGATAATTGATTTTATAACAAACTGACTGATTGATCTTAAAATAAAATGTAAAATGACTTATTTTCTCTAAACAGTTCATTGTTATTCCTTACTTTTAGATTTGAAAAAAATGCCAACAATAACTTACTTTGAAGTATAATTGGATAGGAAATCTCGTGCCCGATTTAGAATGGCTAAAATTTGGGCAAAAGGAGTTATTAATACACTGGGTTCACTGAGAAAAAGAAAAGAAGAGAATAACAATAAAAGACAGTAGAAAATAATCTTATTAATTGAATATATTATTAGTTTAAATTCACTTAATATTGTTTGTTTGAATCATTCCATTAATGTTTAGGACGACAACTGGTCAGTCTTGAGTTGGCATATGTGCATATTGTGCGTATTGCCTCGATATAGCCTTAATTCACAGGCATTATAAGCAAAGATGGATAGAAGCTAACAGTGGAATCCAGAACCAGAGTGAACATCAACTCTGAGATGCAGGTACATCCAACTAACGAGTTCCAAATAGGACGAAATGCGAGTCAAACTGGATTCCGCTGCTAGTCACTATCCATCTTTGCTTAGTATCAATTTAGTTTATTCTCTATAATGTATAATTTACTGTATTTCAAAAGTAGTATTTATTTCAGTAGTGGCTTATGTAAAAATAACCTCAACATAAATCACTTAATAAGTATCCAACATATAATGTTAATCAATGGTTGTTTAGCTTAGATCAGCTCTTCGTCTCAATAAAATTCAATTATCTTCAAAACCCTCCATACTGAAAAGCTAAATTGTTGAGTAGCATTTGTGGTATAGGAACTTTATGTACTACTGTTATGTGATCATGTTCAATGATACTGCTTGATCATTTGAAGTAAAGTAGGCAGATGAGACGAATGCAGATGATTGGATGGTTTAAAATTTAATTATTTTAAGTTATAAGGTGAAAGTAATCGCTTTAATCAGTTTCTCGAATTTCTTCAGTTACATGGTGTTCAATTTATCACCACCTCACGCCAAAATAATAAATCCACCAACTTTGTATTGGTTGGAGATAGGATTCGAACGCTGACCGCATCGTATTAACCACAAAATCATTAAGTCATACAAATTCCTACACTCCTGAATTTTTAGTAGCCCTGGAATATCTGACTCCGATTTGATCTTATGATTATCACTATCGACTTATCCATATCTCCAATCCTCGTATATAATCATTGACTTAGATTACGTTAATGAATAACGGAATTAAATAAGACAAATACAAGAACGAATTTCAAATAGGTATATTTCATATAATCGTTGAACCAGACAAACGATCGGGGAAACGAAGTGAAGAAAGCAAAGGAGGCTAAGCGAAATAACGCGCAGCGGAGGTGTGTGAGCCAAATCAATCGATAAACAACGCAGTTTTTGACCATATGATCAAATCGGAGAGAGATCACATGCACAACTAAAATGATGAGCCCGACGTGATCGGAACACGCAACCTTCTGATGTGGAGTCATATATTCCCGGGCCACTAAAGTAGTGAGCCTTTCGATAACATCATCGTCAGATTAAACTGGTGCCAAGAAAGTGGTTCTTTGTTATAATCATAAGAGAACGATCCGCCAAGTAGATTAATTAGCAGAACAGACATGAGGACAAAGCATTGATAAGATAATACGATTTGAGTATGTCCATGTCACTGCTGTACTGCCTTCGCTGACTGCGTTGGATTAGAGATTGAGTCATTTTAATTGCTCGTCGATTATGTCAGTGATGCTGGGAGTTGGCTTACATGCCTTCTACATTGTGCGTCATTTCGCTTCCTTTTCTTCGTTCCTCTGATTGTCTGCCCAGGTCAATGAATGTACCAAATAGACAAGTTCAAAACTTCATTCTCGTATTTGACTTATTTAATTCCGTTATTCACTAACACGAGTTAAGCGATAATTATATGCGAGGACTGGCGACTCCAGCAAACTTATTCCGTATGTGATCTAGTTAATTCTATTATCTTATAGTTTGTCTCCAATGAATTATATCCTTACATCATGACTGATTTCTTGTGAATTTAACAAGTATAAACTACAAAAACAATGAGTGTATTATCCATATTACTGTGTATTTAGTTTATTAAGTAATTCGCATTTTTTTAAATGAATGGATTATGACTAGCAATAGACTTTGGAAATTATATTTCATTTTATTCTGGATTGATGAGGTGGGTACACTTGAATCTTAGCGCTGATTTCCACGTTGGAACATGAATCCATTACTTTTCGCTTCAAACACTAAAGGATTCTATATTGAGTCGCTGTATCTGAGTAGTTACTAATTTGTTCATTGGGTACAATATTTATAGAATTATTAGGAAGGGTCTAAATTGTTCCATTGCTGATAATCAGGGATAATTCAAATCCCTACTAATAAGTGTATTTTTTTCAACTGTCGATTAAGCACAATACAAGAATCTTTTTTCCTGATGATCATGTTGAATATCCAACTAGAGCTCTCTTCGGTAGTCCATATAGACTTAAAAATTCAGCTTATAACCTATAAAGTTAGTTACATTGTAGCAGTCATTTCAATTATATCACCAGCTTAATGACAACACATATTGGTTTTCAAATTATAAACTGACATTAACAAAATAATCAGTGAAAACTAGAACACACTGGACAGCTGTATCATTTTAATATACAACACCCACAGAAGAGACATTAATTACCAGTTACATTCAGTTATGATCATTCAATACATAGCTTAACTGGATTTAGAAAATAACCTTGAGATTAAACATTTATTGTGAAGCATCAATAGCCGGAACTCAATCCTCTATGAAGGTATGGATACATAGTGAGTAGACAACCATTTAAAACCATACATTACTGGATAATTGTTTAACCTTAGTATAAAAATCATCACTAGTCAAACTTAGCTATATATAGCCACAAAATTTAACAATATCATTAACTCATTGTGCTAAAGTAATTTCTCAAAAACAATAAAATGACTGAAATTAATGGTAGTACTTTCATTAAGACTGAAGGGATCATAGTTCCTTTTTCCTATTCCATATTATTTAAAACGTAATGTATGTTTATAACTCACCAACTCTTACTTCGTATTATCGTTTTATGTATGTTATTGGTATGATGTTAACTTAATGTGACTAATATCGATTAAATAATGTTTACAATGTATTACATCAAAAAAATTGATTTCCATCTAAGTTCAGTTCATCATCATCATCATCATCATCATCATCATCATCATCATCATCATCATCATCATCATCATCATCATCATCATCATCATCATCATCATCATCATCATCATCATCATCATCATCATCATCATCATCATCATCATCATCATCATCATCATCATCATCATCCAAATCATCATCATCATCATCCAAATCATCATCATCATCATCATCATCATCATTATATTACTTTAGAAAATCAAAGTATTCCATCACTATACACAAACATCTATATATTGATAAAATTTGTCGTTTTCTAGAGTAGATTATCATGTAATAACAATCATTGTGGTGATGTCTATATATAAGCTATTTACTACTTAATAAAACGTCAGTAGTAATGAAGATAAATACAAAACAATTATATCTGATAACTTCAGTTTCAAAGCAATTTATTTAGTAAAAGGATTTCTTTGTAGTAAACTCATTATCAAGCTGTACGATCGTACATAATTGTTGAGATACGGTTACCTGATAAAATATTAACAATTAGTAAAAATGATAATATCATAGCTATTTCTACTACTTTCGCCTGTTACTCCCAATGGAGAATAGGCCGCCGACCAGTATTCTCCAATCCACTCTGTCCTGGGCATTCCTTTCTAGTTCTATTCAGTTTTTTTTCATTTTTCTCATGTCTGTCTCCATTTCTTGGCGATAATATCATAGCAGGATAGTAATAATAAGTTATATAGTATAGATAATAACAATAAAATATTATGTAATTTCTATCGGTTATGTGTAAATAGAGAAGGCATTTAAAATTTGTAAGCTGACGTTATGTTGCAGTATGGATGCAGTAAGATAATTAAAACGTTTATGATTGAGATCATGAATCGATCGACGTTAGACCACCACTGAAAACCTGGAAGCACTGAACTGCAGTTTTGTCCAGCGGAGCTAATTCATGTCAGGCAAGAACAGGTATCTATCTCAGACAATAAGAGATGATCTTGCAATTTTGTGGTTTGGTTGAAATTAGACAGTAGCACCATAGAATGGCGCCGGCTCAATGGTCTAGAGGTTAAGCGTTTGCGCACGAGATCGATGGTCTTAAGTTCGGGTGCCGCGTGCTGGATTATGAACGAGCACTACCTAGGAGTCCATACTAGGACGAAATAGCCGTCCAGTGCTCCTAGGATTTCAATGACAGTCTAATATCGATCGATTCATAATCTCAGTCAAAAAATCAACAATTTTATTTTGTCACAATAACTAAAGAAAACAGAGAAATTAAATCATACGAAGTAATATTAGAATCAATTATAGTTAAAATCGTAGGAGTATGCGAAATAACTGAAGAGAAGAGGAAGGATGATATTTTCAAATGTAAAAATCAATTAAATGGAGATAAAGTGGTCGTAATTAAAATGATAACAGTTTAAAATCATGATGAAGAAAACAATAACAAATACTCCTTCTATATACAACTTTTAGGCTTTTTGTTCATGGACAGTAAAAGCTTCTCGTTTTTAAAAAAATTGAATATGAAGATATCCTATGTGAGGACGGTCCACAGGTGAAGTTGAGGAAGCTCTAAAACGCTCAGAAGAAGTCAAACATATTCCATCCAATCAGCTTTTGGAAGAATATTCTGGAATCACTACATGTAGCTTGCCTATTGGACAATGCTAATAACCCCCTGTATGCGGATTGGATAATTATAATGATGATTTCGTTTCTGCTAAAAAACTATAAATACCTGACAGTTTTGTATCATAATTGACACTGTTTGAAATAACATTCCTTCTACTTGTCTTCTATCTTCTGATTTTATGACTTAAGGAGGAGGTTCTATATCATCGAATGCTCAAGTAGTACGCATCATACTAAGAATCTAAATTCAAGATATAACACCTTAGTTAATTAAGATAAAATTCTGTGAACAATATGAAAATCAACTTGAAGATCAGTGAATCAAATAAATTGTGTTATCCATATTGAAGTTAAGCTCCAGCAACAGCCTA